AGCACTATACATAGAAAGGAACAACCAGTACCAGCCACTCCAAAAACATACCAAATGGTAAAGAGCATTGACACAATGAAGAAACTGCATCAACTAACGGGCAAAACAGCCAGCTAGCATCAAAATGGCAGGGTCAAATTCACACATAACAATATTAACCTTAAATGTAAATGTGCTAAATGCCCCAATCAAAAGACACAGACTGGCAAATTGGATAAATAGTTAAAACCCATTGGTGTGCTGTATCCAGGAAACCCATCTCACATGCAAGGATACACAGGGGATCAAAATAAAGGGATGGAGGAAGATGTACCAAGCAAATGGAGAGCAAAATAAAGCAGGAGTTGCAATTCTCATCTCTGATAAAATAGACTTTACAGCAACATTGATCAAAAAAACAAAGAAGGACATTACATAATGGTAAAAGGATCAATGCAACAAGAAGAGCTAATGATCCTAAATATATACGCACCCAATACAGGAGCACCCAGATACATAAGACAAGTTCTTAATGACTTACAAAGAGACTTAGACTCCCACACAATAATACTGGGAGACTTTAACACTCCACTGTCAATATTAGACAGATCAACCAGACAGAAAATTAACAAGGATATCCAGGACTTGAACTCAGATCTGGACGAAGCAAACCTAAAGACATATACAGAACTCTCCACTCCAAATCCACAGAATATACATTCTTCTCAGCACCATATCACACTGACTCTAAAACTGACCACATAATTTGAAGTAAATCACTCCTCAGCAAATGGAAATCATAACAGTGTCTCAGACCGCAGGGCAATCAAATTAGAACTCAGGATTAAGAAACTGACTCAGAACCACACAACTTAATGGAAACTTAATAACTGGCTCTAGAATGTTGACTGGATAAACAATGAAATGAAAGCAGAAATAAAGATGTTCTTCGAAACTAATGAGAAAGAAGACATGATGTTCAAGAATCTCTGGGACACATTTAAAGTAGTGTTTAGAGGAAAATTTATAGCAATAATTGCCCACACAAGAAGCAAGGAAAGATCTAAAATCAACACCGTATTGTCAAAATTGAAAGAACTAGAGGAGAAAGATCAAAAAAACTCAAAAGCTAGCAGAAGGCAAGAAATAACTAAGATCAGAGCAGAACTGAAGGAAATAGACACACACACACACACACACACACACACAAAAAAAAAAAAAAAAAAAAAAACCTTAAAAAAATCAATAAATCCAGGAGCTGGTTTTTGAAAAGATCAACAAAATAGACCACTAGGCCAGATTAATAAAAAAGAAAGAGAGAAGAATCAAATAGATGCAATAAAAAACGATAATGGGGATATCACCACAGATTCCACAGATACCACAGATATACAAACTACCATCAGAGATTACTACCAACAACTCTATGCACATAAACCAGTAAACCCCGAAGAAATGGATAAATTCCTGGACACTTGAACCATCCCAAGCCTAAACCAGGAAGTTGAAACCCTGCACAGACCAATAACAAGGGCTGAAGTTGAGGCAGTAATTAATAGCCTACCAACCAAAAAAAGCCCAGGTCCAGATGGGTTCACAGCTGAATTCTTCCAGACATACAAAGAGGAGTTGGTACCATTCCTTCTGAAACTATTCCAAACAATCCAAAAAGAGGGAATCCTTCCCAAATCATTTTATGAGATCAACATCATCCTGATACCAAAACCCGGCAGACTCAACAAGAAAAGAAATTGGCCTGTTCATCAGGCCAATATCCCTGATGAACATAGATGCAAAAATCTTCAATAAAATACTGGCAAACCAATTGCAACAGCATATCAAAAAGCTTATCCACCATGATCAAGTAGGCTTCATTCTGGGGATGCAAGGCTGGTTCAACATACGCAAGTCTATAAATTTAATTCACCACATAAACAGAACCCAAGACAAAAACCACATGATTATCTCAATAGATGCAGAGAAGGCCTTTGACAAAATTCAACAGCCCTTTATGCTAAAAAGTCTCAATAAACTAGGTATGGATGGAATGTATCTCAAAATAATAAAAACTATTTATGACAAACCCACAACCAATATCATACTGAATGGGCAAACTAGAAGTATTCCCTTTGAAATCTGGCACTAGACAAGGATGCCCTCTCTCACCTTCCTGTTCAATATAGTATTGGAAGTTCAAGTCAGAGCAATCAGGCAAGAAAAAGAAATAAAGGGTATTCAATTAGGAAAGGAGGAAGTCAAATTGTCTCTATTTGCAGATGACATGACTGTATATTTAGAAGACCCCATCTCAGCCCAAAATCTCCTGAAACTGATAAGCAACTTCAGCAAAGTCTCAGGATACAAAATCAATGTGCAAAAATCACAAGCATTCCTATACACCAATAATGGACTTAAAGAGAGCCAAATCAAGAATGAACTGCCATTCACACTTGCTACAAAGAGAATAAAATATCTAGGAATAAAACTAACAAAGGATGTAAAGGACCTCTTCAAGGAGAACTACAAACCACTGCTCAAGGAAATAAGACAGGACACAGATGGAAAAACATTCCATGCTCATGGTTAGGAAAAATCAATATTGTGAAAATGGCCATACTGCCCAAAGTAATTTATAGATTCAACAGTATCCCCATCAAGCTACCTATGACCCTCTTCACAGAACTGGAAAAAACCACCTTAAACTTCATATGGAACCAAAAGAGAGCCCGCATAGCCAAGTCAATTCTAAGCAAAAAGAACAAAGCTGGAGGCATCACACTACCTGACTTCAAACTACACAAGGCTGCAGTAATTAAAACAGCATGGGACTGGTACCAAAACAGAGATATAGACAAATGGAACAGAACAGAGGTCTCGAAGGCAATGCCACACATGTACAACCACCTGATCTTTGACAAACCTGACAAAAACAAGCAATGGGAAACGATTCCCTGTTTAATAAATGGTGTTGGGAAAGCTGACTAGCCATGGGCAGAGAGCAGAAACTGGACCCCTTCCTGACACCTTACACTAAAATTAACTCCAGATGGATTAAAGACTTAAACATAAGACCCAACACCATAAAAACCCTATTAGAAAACCTAGGCAAAACCATTCAGGACATAGGTGTAGGCAAGAACTTCATGAACAAAACACCAAAAGCACTGACAACAAAAGCCAAAATAGACAAATGAGATCTAATTAAACTCCAGAGCTTTGGCACAGCAAAAGAAACAATCATTAGAGTGAATCAGCAACCAACAGAAAGGGAAAAAATTTTTGCAATCTACCCATCAGACAAAGGGTTAATATCCAGAATCTACAAAGAACTAAAACAGATTTACAAGAAAAAAACAAACCCATTCAAAAGTGGGCAAAAGATATGAACAGGCACTTTACAAAAGAAGACATATATGAGGTCAACAAACATGTGAAAAAACGCTCATCATCACTGGTCTTTCGGGAAATGCAAATTAAAACCACATTGAGATACCATCTCATGCCAGTTAGAATAGCGATCATTAAAAAAATCTGGAGACAACAGATGCTGGAGAGGATGTGGAGAAATAGGAACACTTTTACGCTGTTGATGGGAGTGTAAACTAGTTCAACCATTGTGGAAGACAGTGTGGTGATTCCTCAAGGACCTAAAAATAGAATTTCCATTTTACCCAGCAATCCCATTACTGGGGATATATCCAAAGAATTATAAATCATTCTATTATAAAGACACATGCACACATATGTTCATTGCAGCACTGTTTACAATAGCAAAGACGTAGAACCAACCCAAATGCCCACCAATGATAGACTAGACAAGGAAAATGTAGCATATATACACCATGGAATACTATACAGCCATAAAAAACGATGAATTCATGTCCCTTGTAGGGAAATGAATCAATCTGGAAACCATCATTCTCAGCAAACTGCCACAAGAACAGAAAATCACATACCGCATGTTCTCACTCATAGGTGGATGTTGAACAATGAGAACACATGGACACAGGGAGGGGAGCATCACACACTGGGGCCTGTTGTGGAGGGACTAGCGGAGGGACAGTAGGGGGTAGGGAGTTGGGGAAGGATAACATGGGGAGAAATGCTAAATACAGGTGACAGGGATGGAGGCAGCAAACCACATTGCCATGTATGTACCTATGCAACAATCCTGCATGTTCTGCACATGTACCCCAGAACCTAAAGTACGATACTATATATATGAATAAAATTAAATTTAAAAAAGAAATCATGCCTATAGAATTTCTAATATAAAGACAAAACAACATGTAAAAATAACTTTATTAAAACTTAAAAACATTTTCAAAGTGTATACATGCAAATAGATAATTCCACCATAAAATGGACTTCTAAGATCAATGACAAGCAGATACAGACTGATCTGGCAAAACATGCATCAGCCACCTAACCTCCCCTACATTCCTGTCCTCAGGGTTAGCCTGCTCACTGGGAGGAAAACCACACACTTACCAAAATGTCCCTGCTGCTGTCATTGCCCTCAAGGACTGGCATGACGGAGGAACAGCCCTTGCTATAAGTGGGAAGGAGAGAACAGCTCTAGGGAGCTCTGGTTCATCCCAGCAACACACCAGGACTGGAAAGAATCCCACGCGGCACCCCCAAGTGGAGTCCACCCAAGCAAGTAACTTGCTCAGCTGGGCTTTCCAGCAGTTCTCAACACTGACTGCTCATTATAATCCATAGAACTTTTTTAAAAATCCCGATTGTCTGAGCCACAGATCAATTAAACCAGAATCTCTGGGACCGGCACCCGACAACTTCATTTTTTGAAAGCGCCCCAGGTGGCTGCGATGCTGAGGGGAAGAAAACCATAGCAGCCATTTCTTGCTCAACTCCTAGCTTCTTAGACATCTCCCTTGTTCAGATTTAAAACATCTGGCACGTCTGACACCCTTCTTGACTTTTGAAAGATCTGACATACGGATGCTTTGTTTCTAACACTTATTTATGAGGAGTTAAAAATAAATAGAGCACCCAGATTTCAATAAAAAATTTATTTTCATAGAAAAGTGCCAAAATATCCACCAATGTCATAATCTATCTCAATAACCAGTTTACACTAGTAATGAAAACACAAGCCTCTTTATTCACATTGTTTAAAAATCCAATTCTTTTCACACATTCCCACAGTAACTGGAGTCTCTAGACAGTGGGAAATTTGCATTCCTATTTGCTGTGGCAGTCCATATGTCCAGGTTCATATAGGCACGAAATGGGTTAAACCCTGGGTAGTACTCCTTGCACATGACCGCTTGGTTTTCCATGTGAGTTGAATGTTCCGTGGTGGGGTTGATGGGACAGCAGTTTTCATACACATCGCTTTGCGGAGCCCAGATGGAACCAAAAAGTCCAGACATTGGAGACAAGCTTCGGGTGCTTGTGAGGTAGGGCTGAAGTATAAATGAGGAAGGAAAAATAAGTGAAAAAAAAAAAAGAAGAAGCCTTAAAAAGGTAATGTCAACACTGAATACAAAGTACTGAAAACTACAATGGTATTGAGCTACTTGGAAGTTATTAGACTACTCCCAGTTTAAATCTGGGTTAACTCCGTTTTTTTCTCAAAGGAAAGGCTGTGAAATCATCATGTAATGGGATAAACTTATTTGCAACCCGAGAAAGAACCCACAGACCAAATACCCTCTATCTGGAAAAACAGAAAAACAAGTGTCAAGTGGATGTGGAAGGAGAAGCTGTAGGGCTTCTGAGCAGGGAAGCCGTGCTCGCAGGCAGGGAGTGCTGGAAGCCCGACCACCCACTGACCTTCCTGGGACTTTCATCTCTTACCACTGACGTAAAGACCAAGTGAGTCCACATAAAGACAGCTGTGTCACACAGAAGGCTGGCCCATGTTCAATTTTATCTACAAAGGACCACTGCTTGGTGCATTTTGGGATGTTTTTCATTTGGGGTGGCCAGAATGTCAATGTCTGCAAGATCGCACCCATCTGATTATTACATGTTAGTTTCCTGCAGAGGGTGGCCAGCCCTGGCTTCTGTGAGCTAAAAGAAACAAGCCAGGTTTTGGCTAATCTGAACCTAACGCTAAAGCTAGCTGAGACCAGGCTTAAGGAAGCACCGGAAACAGTTCAGAGCTGCCCAGGGCTTCCCAGAACAGGATGGGTAACACTGACCGGAGAGCTGATGAAACTGGCATGTCCCCAGGCAGCAGGCATGTTGGGCGGGGTGTTCCAGGTAGACTGTGAGTTGTGATCCATAAAGTCTGTCTGAACTTCGGCAGGACAGGGGAAGCCATTGGGATAGTTCATGTTTTCTACAAAGAATGGGAGAATATCATCATAGGTACACGTTTTCATTGAGAACTGAATCTCACTCAGGCTAAAAAGCTTTCAAGTCCTTACTACACTGACATAAATACTTGGTCCGTGTGGACCAGGAGAGTCATTTCAACGTCATTCTCAAGATTAAAACTGTTTATCAGACACACAACCTGGGAAGCCCTCAATGTGGAAGGTCTTCTTCCAGGCTTGTTTTTCTCTGTTTGATCACTTGATGGGAATCTTTCTATTACACAAAGTACACTAAAATTCTACTAGAGATCTAAATAGTGTCAAGATTCTTGCCAGTCTTTAAAATGTTTTTATTACCTGTCATGCCAACCTCAGTCACCTACACATATATCATAGGTGCTGATAAAGCAATCCCAAACCAAGGACTCCTTAGATAGCATTAAGGACATAATGAACACAGACCCTCACAATCATAAGAACATTCCCAAAGCACCTCCTTGTGGTTAGCATGGAGCAATGCATGTATCAAAATCTAGGTAAGAATGATACATCCCAAGAAGAAAAAAATTAAAAGAATGATACATCCCTTTCCTGAAAAGGCAACTCTAGCATAAGAAACCATGATCCAACAGTAATGCAAAATAGAACATTTTCCAGTTGACCAGGGAAATCCCACAGCTTTTTTTTATTATTACAGATGGTGAAGCCCAAGCATCTGCAATTTTCCACAATTTCCCCTCCACGCTCCTTTCCTTCCTTCTGCAGCACCACCCAAGGGCAGAGAAGTAAGGACCTTCTCTGGGAATGGGAAGCAGGCCAAGGTTTCCATTTCACACGGGTCTTGCCTGCCTAAAAAAGAAGAGCAAGCAGCTAAAGCCCCCAGCCTCCCAACAGATAACGAGCAATGTTACCTCCATATAGCTGCAAATGACCCAGTTCTACCTAACTAGAAGGACTAAATGGATTAGAGTTATTTTTGAAGACCCCAGACACCCAAATTTGGAAGGCTTTTTGAGGGTCACATAAAATTATATATGGCATCAGTGCAAACTGGATCCACACAAAGCCATTCAGCGGTCTACTGTAAGCTCATTCTCACAGTCTGCTCACTGTAAATGGTACATTCTTCTAAGTCCACACATGTCCAGCTTTGACCTTCTGAGAATAAAAGAATGGCACTGAGATTGTCTGAAGAGCTCTTACCTTCTGGAAAGGCATTGTAATCGTTCAATTCCAACGGACAGTATGCACTGGAAAACTGGCCTTCGCATGTTGCACTCCAATCAATGAAACTGCCACAAAAAAAACAAGTGGTCAAGACATCAAATAAAGAAAAAGGAAAATGATTTCATCGCCTAGCATCCTAATCACTGTGAATTCCCCAATTTTGGAAAATAAAAGATGAACTTTCTCAAGTTACAGAATCAAAAACTGACTAAATGCTCACCACTAATGACACACCATGAGCGAGATGGATGGCGTGGACTAGGAACACACTTCCTTTGTCACCATGTTTGTTAAGTATAACTAGAGACAGAGTAGAGAGCCGTGGCTTTATCAGCACTGTGAAAGAACAGCTGGAATACCTCAAAGTGTCTTTATGCACATCTGAAAAACTTAAACATGTTCTGTTAAAAATGTCCACTCAGAGCGAGACCAGCATTCATCTTAGAGAAGTCCTAACTATAAAGAATGTACTTCATGATAATGATCCCTATTGCAACCTAGATTCTTATTATAGAAATGATAGGAAATACTGTTGCAATAAGCTGAACCCAGGAAACCTGCAAATGGATTCTGAGATTAAATATCTAATTTTCTTAAGGCTCCCTAATTGAATGACATGTTAGTATCAAATAGCAAATTTGAGAAACTGCCATTGTGTAACTGTTTTTCAACACACAAATTATTTGATCTTTTAAAATTTTAAATGTGGGCCAGGTATAGTGGCTCATGCCTACAATATCAACACTTAGGGAGGCCAAGGCAGAAGGATAGCTTGAGACCAAGAGTTCAAGACCAGCCTCGGCAACAAAGCAAGATCCTGTCTCTACCAAAAAAAAAAAAAAAAAAAAAAAATTAGCCCAGCATGGTGGCACACACCTGTAGTCTTAGTTACTAGAGAGGCTGAGGTAAAAGAATTGCTTGAACCCAGCAGTTCAAGGCCGCAGTGAGCTATAATTGCACCACTGCACTCCAGCCTGAGCGACAGAGCAAGACTCTATCTCTAAAAAGTAAATAAACAAACAAATAAATACAATGTTAAATGGGTTCAAGAATAATGCCGTAGAAAACTGAAGAGCTTTGCTCTGCTAGGAGTTAGGAATTATGAGTATTTTTTTCAAATCTGCCTCTAATGTATGAATAAATCATGTTTTCAATTTTTAAAAAAATAATGACACTATCACTAGCTTTATTTCTTTTATTTCCTTTCATGTTTCTCTCGATGCCTGGTTTGCTGAGTCCCAAGGCAACTCTAAAAGCAGAAGGAACACACAGCTGAAGTCCACTGAGGAAGAAGCCTGGCCCTCGTTTTTGTAAGGAAACCCTAACAAACTGAACTCAAACTCCAACTGCAAGCCCTTAGACTAAGCAAGGCCCCAATCAGAGAGGTGAAGCTGTACCTATTATGAACCGGGGCAGGCTCCTGAATCACACAAGGCACGCCGTTCTCCAGGGTGCAGTTTAAGCTGCTTGTCAGACACACCGGCAGAGTGGGCCACAGGTCTCCAGGTGAGTAAAGACCTAGGAAGAGAACAAGGCCTGAGTCCGCCCCATCCTCACCTGGCCCTCATCCTACCCTTCCTGAACCTGCTCTTCCCTCCGGAAAACACTCCCTGATGTCACCCACACACGCTGACTGACTCCTTTTGGGATATAATGTCAGGATATAATTCTGAAATACAGCATATTATTTTGAGCGTTTCTTCAGACGGTGTCTGACTGTCCCCTCTCCTGGATGACAAGATGAGGTTCACGTTAACAAGTATTTCAGGAGTTACTTTCTGCAAGGCCCCGTTATAGACACTGAGGGTACAGCAGTGAAGAAGTTACATTCAAGTGAGCAGAGACAAATAACCAACAAAGATAGCACGGCAGATAATGAATGTGCTGTGATGGCAAACACAGCAATTTCTTTTCGAGACAGTCTCGCTCTGTCACCCAGGCTAGAGTGCAGTGGTGACATCTTGGCTCACTGCAACCTCTACCTCCCAGGCTCAAGCGATTCTCCTGCCTCAGCCTCCTGGGTAACTGAGACTATAGGCACACACACCACCATGCCCAGCTACTTTTTGTATTTTTAGTAGAGACAGAGTTTCACCATGTTGGCCAGGCTGGTCTAAAACTCCTGGCCTCAAGTGATCCACCCGACTTGGCCTCCCAAAGTGCTGGGATTACAGGTGTGAGCCACCTGTGCCTGGCCAAATACAACTATTTAAGATAGGATGGTCAAAGGCCTCACTGAGGGAACAGCTCCTCAAAGATGTGACTGAGGCGAGGAAGTGAGCCCAGTGGATACAGAAGAAGCACATTCCAGGCAGCAGAAACAGTACTGCAAAAGCCCTGAAGCAAACATGCCTGGGGAGTTCAAACAGCAAGGATACCAGCGTGGCCAGGAAGGAGAGGGGATAGGGGAAGAGTAGGGGGTTAGCCACAGAGCTGACTGGGAGCAGAGAAGATAGAGCCTGTGGGCCCCTTGAAGAATGCAGGCATTTTCTGAAGCTACCGGAAGGACTTGAGCAGAGCGACTTCTTGGAGACAAGTCTTTAGGGATTGCTCCATTGCTGCACATCTTGTAAGTAGAGGCATTGGCAACCTTTCTCTTAGACTATCTTTTCATAGATGTTGGCTAGGCAAAAGCCTTGGAACATACAGTGTCTCTTTCTGGAGCAAAAGACAGGCAAGCTTGATGCCTATTATAAAATTTCTGGGGTCCCAAAGCTCAGGGTTCCTCTCCCGTAGTGCAACCCACTGTGTGTGGCATCCATCTAGGGCTGAGTCACCCCCGTGGGGCTCAGATGAACTCATGCAGCCAGGCTGGAGTTCACGCAGTGGGCTTGCCCCAGCTATATTTCAGCTTTTTGTGGAAAAGTGGCAGCTATCCCTCTGGGGAAACTTTACCCCCCCACTCTGTACCTGAAGTGAAGTTGCTGGCTCAGTGGGCCCTTAATTCCCAGGAGCTCCCTTAAATGCCTAGGCCTGCCTCACTGATGGCTGGGTCTGGTTGAAATCCAACAGCATCTACTAGGGGGCTGCAGCTGTTCCACCTCAACACCCACCATGCAGAACTGAAAAGGAACGCAGCCATTTTGATCAGTGGGCAGAACCCAAAGTGGTTCTCACAGCTCTGGCTAATTCTGCCCTGATGAACCTTGCTAGGTTTAAATGAGTCTTAGGCTATTGCCAATGGTTTAGGTGCTTGGTCTGCCACTTGGGAAGCAACTGACTGGCAGATTAAAGACAATGTTGTCTGGGGCTCTGAAAAATGGAAATTGATCTTGGCTTCTGTTTAAACCTTGGAGCCATTCAAGATGCAGGTCCTTGGTTAGGATATGCTCTCCACTGAGATCAGCTGGAATCAAGACACTGATCAGGTCTGCACCACCCAGGCTGCCGTTGTTGCTACCTGGGTGCATCATTGCCCCAGACATGGCAACACTTCCAGCATCACACACTGGGCACAAAGTAAGCTTCCTGGAAGGTAACTGGTTCATGCACATCCTATGGGAATCGATCACTAGGAGGGAGCTACCCAGTTAGAAATGGCTGGTATGGAATTTGCTGATATTAGCTGAAGTGATCGAAGATGGCACCTGGTCCCTGGAAGGCATCTGGATCAGCCTCAACTCACTGACAGAATTGCTCCAGATGTTCTCCTTGCAGGCCAAGGTGCAGTCTACGCAATCACTAATAATATATCTTGCTGTACCTGGAGTAATACCTCTGGCCAAGTGGAAAGATCAACACCGAACTTTCTGGGGAAAGCCATCTGGCTCTCTAAGGTAGACCCTGGTGGTCTATCGGATTTGTTCAGCTGGTTGGGTTTGAGACTCTGGGGCATGGTTGAGGTCAATACTGCAAAATGGCCTCATCCTGCTGCGTGGGCTCCTGTGGACAGCAGCTGTCAGTAAGTGTATGAGACAAAGCAGATTTGGTTCCACCTTCCATTGGTCAGATTAAGAATTACTTATGGCAGGATGCACTCATGTGAAAATCTACCAGAAGCTGAGGCTACATAGAAATAAGAGGGATGTATGTTATGAGACAATTCTCCATGGGTTTCTCAGATTTCTGCACTTCATATGAGAACAAGCACTGGCTCCTTTATTCTGGCCTAGGTTTTCCAGTGCATTTGTTAGGCAAAATCTCTGAAGGAAGAGTTAGTGTCTCCTTTTGGGGCAAGGCACGAGTCTGCTTCATGTCCAACACAATAGAGAGAATATCTCCTACATATACATTTGGGAGTTGTCCAGGTCAAAGGAAGACTCAGACCTCTGCAAGTTGATGAGATCACCAAAAGAGTGTGCACATACAGAGAAGAGGAGGGCACCAAGGTCTGCTCTCCAGAGAGCTCAGGGTCATGAGGCGGAAGATGGGGAAGAGCTGGATCAGGAACCTAAGGTCTACCCGCCAGAACAGAACGTCCCATGTCATAGGTCAACATGGGGACCGAAAACAGAACCGATCAAGCACTCATCAATGTGCAAATCACCAAAGACTCCGACAGCACCGTTTCAGGGGAGCCATAGTGGCAAAGGCCAGATTACAGGGGTTTCTAGAGAGGACAGGAGGAGAGGAGTTTGAATCAGCAACTAAAATAATTTTTCTAAGGTGTTTCCTAAAGACAGGGGCAGAGAAACAGTAACAGCTGAAGAAGGCAGTCAAGAGAGAGTTTTGGCTATTGTTGAATTTTTAATGATGAGAAGTATTATAGTATATTTGTGTGCTGATGAGAATGACCCATTTCAGAAAAACCGATGATGGAGGAGGGATGGGAAAATCTGTAATAATACCCTTGGAGAGAAGGGTTGCATTGACAGTCCTTCAGGCTGCAACAGGAGAGAGGCAGAGAAGAGCAGAGAATGGTGGGCAGGTGGAGAGGGCAGTGGGAGCTTGCTGAAGGCCTCTAATCATTTCTCTCTTTTCCAGTAAAGCAGGAAGCAAGATCAAGTAAAAGAATAAGGTAGGAGGCATTGGAACTGTGGAGACAGAGGGGCAGGGCGGGAGGACACACACAGGCATTATGCAAAGTGGGTGGTGGGGAATCCACAGAGGCAGCTGGCATGGGGAACACTGCTCTCCAGCTTCACTCGTCTGCACAGGAGCAGGTGGAGCAGGTGGGGCCCTGGGCGAAACCATGGCTGGGGCTTTGCAATAAAGCAATAAAGGAATAGGAGTTGAGGAAATGACTGTAGCAACAGATCGGGCCATCTCAGCTGGGCAAGGAGAACGTGGCTGTGAGGAAGGTGAGGGAGTACAAGGATGATGGGCCCACTGCTTTGCGGGTAATAGACTATGGACAAGATGCACTCTGTCAGTACATCTGACAAGGGCCAAGGTAAAGGCACTTGAAGCGTGAACGCACGAATATGCGCGCGCACACACACACACACACACACCCCTACCCCTGGGTCAGGACACCAAATCGGACATATATCTCCAACTGACAGCAAAGCTGGGCGGCATGTGCTGAAGGGCAGATTTTCTGTCAGTTTTCATTTTTCCTCACCATTAAAATCTTACCTTTCTCTATTAACCCACAGGAAAAAGAAAAGTACCACCTAAACCACCCACGCATCTTGCCTTTGCAAACTGTGGTTTATTGAATTTTAGATTTTTTTAATTGAAAATACTTATTTTACTGGACTAGTCATTAGATTCAATTTGCTATTTCTGTTGATAACTGGACAAGTCCAAAAGGAACCACATAAAGTCTTCCACTTTCAAGAGTAAAAATTCTCCAATGTGCAGAGCAGCTTTTAAACCCAGCGTTAAATTATATGACCAAAAGCAAGTATGTGTATTAAAGACCGAATAAAAATCAGGTTTATCCTGCCACAATTCCTGACCCACGTTAGGCAAAAAAGAAGCCCTAGAATCAAACAGGAAACAAAAGAAGAGAGGTTGAAGAGGAGGAAAGAAGAAGAAATTGAGGGAGGACTGGAGTTCACTTCCCATCAGAGTCCCCCAACCTGCCCCAGGCAGGAGAGGTTTCCTTCCCACCCACTGCTATTTCCATGCACCCAGGCAACTGCCAGCAAAGCAGGAGGTCTTTACCCTGCAGGCAGAAGGTCTCAACCCTGTTGTCTGAGCCAAGCTGCTCTCCAAGGCTGTAGAGGCTGAATTAACCAGCTTCTAAAATAGAGTGAGTTGGGAAGGAAGGGGAGCAGGCCAGGGAAAGTGGTAAGCAGGTGACGTGCTGCACCCTCAACCCAGGCACGGTTCCCAATCAGCCTCTCTTCCCTTAGGCCACGCATCACCCTTCTGTAGTTTTCTGTCATCTCTGACTAGGGAAGGTGAACTAAGTGCATCGGGAGTCTCCTGCGAGGGGCCTGCGATTATTCCAAGGTAGAGAGCATCTGTGCCTCAGCTGTAGAGAGGGGGCTCAGAATTGATGTACAAGGTCAGCTGGGGCCCTGATGATGCCCGTCCACAGAGCAGGTGCCTTCCTGATGTATGAATGTGTGGCTTGGAGAAGGGGTCAGAGGGGAAACAGCCCTGTCCCACCCCACCTGCTTTGTCTTCTCAAGTTCATGAGCCAGGAATACAGATAGCACAGAACCCGTGGCTGATGTCTGCAGCAAGAGAAATGCACCTCACCTTTATCTTCTTCAACACCTCTGGGCCCAGCAGGAAGGTTGGGGCAGGAAGGCTCTGCGTATTGTGGGAGACTGTTCACAGCCCTGTAGGGAAGTGAGCAAAGGAGGAACAACTCATTTTTTTCTGCACAAGAAAATACGGATATTGTATAACAAAGTCTGATTGAGTTTTCACATGACATCTTCCCCAAGAAACATACAGATATAAAAGATGCAAAGTTATACAGCCAGAAAAGAATTGAGGAATATTAAATTCCCAAGATCCAGCAAATTCTTATCATAACCATCAACAAAAAATTAATTAACATAACTATGGTATCTGGTGGTTTTAAATATAACTGTCCCCATTAGCAGCAATTCTTACTCCTGTGTTTACATCCTGCCCCCAATAAACCCATGAAGAGCGTTCCTTGTGCACTAGCAAGTTTCCTTCCTCACAAACTCACCCGTTTAAATGCATTCTCGGTCCTCTCACAGTGAGGGAGGCACCTAAGAAATCAAGTTTATTTCTCACCTTGAATTCTCCTTCTTACCCACCCTCCTCTTCTCTCACTCAATCAAATGTACTTGTAAGCATCTATCTACTAGGTTCTTGCAAAATTTACTAAATTATCAACGCTTAGTTTTATTTCCAGGCCTAGCAAAGGGTAAATGATTCTCATCTTTATAATAACTACTGCTTCCACCTTCTGCACTCAGAAGAAATAAGGTCTTCTTGGCCAGACTGGTGGCTTACGCTTGTCAACAGCACTTTGGGAGGCCAAGGCGGGCGGATCACAAGGTCAGGAGTCTGAGACCAGCCTGGCCAATATGGTGAAACCCTATCTCTACTATCTCTACTAAAAATACAAAAAGTAGCCGAGCATGGTGGTAGGCGTGTGTAATCCCAGCTACTAGGGAGGCTGGGGCAGGAGAATTGCTTGAACCCGTGAGGCGAAGGTTGCAGTGAGCCAAGATCACATCACTGCACTCCAGCCTGGTCAACAAGAGCAAAACTCCAACTTGAAAAAAAAAGAAAGAAGGAAAAAGGTCTTCTTTTCTCTTCTGAGACAGAATCCCGCTGTTACCCAGGCTAGAGTGTAGTGGTGTGATCACAGCTCACTGTAGCCTCAATCTTCTGGAATCAAGTTATCTTCCCACCTTAGCCTCAGTGAGTAGCTGGAAATACAGGTGTGCGCCACTACGCCTGACAAATTTTTTAAAAAATTATTTTTAGAGATGGGGTTTCATTATGTTGCCCAGACTGGTCTTGAACTCCTGAACTCAAGAGATCCTCCCACCCTGGCCTTCCAAAGTGCTAGGATTACAGATGTGAACCACCATGGCTGGTCTCAGAAATTAGGTATTTTCTAACGTGGTTCCCTCTCTGAAAAAAAAAAAGTGTTACCAGAGACTCTCACATGAACCATGTTTACCTGCACGACTCCTGAATTATTAATAAAATCAGATTCTACTTTCCTGCATCTTTAGAAAATTCCATATTTTAACCTGCAGAATGCTAAGTACAAAGAAGAAATACACTAATTGATAGAAAAAGCAATACATAAAACACACTGTCAAAGCTGGAAAGCAAAAACCTTACATGGGATTGCAGATGTTATGGGAAAGATTCAAGGAGATGGGAGCTTCAGAGGGAAAGTCATTTGGTGAAACACTGTCTCCTGCAGTAGAAGAAACACAACATCACAAGTTTTAAAAAGTATACTTCAGTCGTATATTCAGTATTAAAATGCATAGGTTATTAATATCACTAATGCCTAATGACTGACTTTTCACTTTAAACTGATATTCACACATTTAGTCATTTAATTTTTAATTAAATATTAAACATGAATCGTGCAATTGTAATTATGAACATTTAGATATATTTCTTAACAATCTCTTTTTGTTGTTATTGTGTTTTATTTGAGACAGAGCCTCACTACGTCACACAGGCTGGAGTGCAATGGCGTGATCTTGGCTCATTGCACCTTCTGCCTCCTGAGTTCAAGCGATTCTCCTGCCTCAGCCTCCCAAGTAGCTGCAATTACAGGTGCGCACCACCAAACTGGCTAATTTTTGTATTTTTAGTAGAGATGGAGTTTTGCCATATTGGCCAGGCTGGTCTTGAACTCCTGACCTCAGGTAATCCACCTGCATTAGCCTCCCAAAGTTCTTTATAATCTCTTTTATGTTTGTGTATATGTATAAAATTGGAATCATATTTTACAGAAACATTGTCTTTTTTTTTTTTACACCATTTATTACATTGGGAACATTTTCCCACTATTACATAACCGTCACACAACTTAAAGACTGCATACTCTGCTACTGTACAGCAGTATCATTAATAATTTTCATCATTCTACTAATGTTAGCCATTCCCTCAAGCAAAAGATACACTTGTAGTTCTTAACGTACCTCTCCCTTTTTTTTTTTTTTTTTTTTTTTTTGAGACAGTCTTGCTCTCTCACCCAGGCTAGGAGCATTACCCAGCAATAAAGGGAAGGAAATGCTGACACAGGCTGCAATGTTTTTGAAGCATGAAGACATCATGCTAACTGAAATGAGCCAGTCACAAAACGACAATCACGCTGTATGATTCCACTTATACAAGATACTCAGAGTAGTCAAATTCACAGACACAGAAAGTAGAAGGGGGGTCAGCAGGGCTTACAGAGAGGGAGAAATGCAGTTACTGTTTCATGCGTAGAGTTTCAGTTTTGCAAGATAAAAAATTCTGGAGATGGACAGGTGTGACGGCTGCACAGCGTGATGCACCTAGTGCCACAGAACTCCACATCTAAGAAGCATCACAGTGGCCAATGCTGTGTTATGTATATTTTACCATAACAAAAAAAATGTACAAATGAAAAACTAAATGCAGAGCTCTTTGAACTGTTTCCAAGGCAGACACTAAAAAACGACGATGATGATTATGGTAAGGATGGAGGGGAAGAAGGAGAGGAAAGAAAAAGAAAATGAGTGAAGTCCAAAGCAAAGGTCAAGGCCACTGTCCCATCTGTCCTCTGCACGCCCAAAGGCAGATGGAGACTGTGCGGACTGGGTATTCAAGAGGGCAGAGGGAAGAGTCACTGCAAGTGCCTGGGGCTCCGCTCAAGACTCACCAGCAGGCAGGAAGTGCTGGGTGTCCACTGCCAGCTTCTTATCCCCGTCAGAGCTGCTGGTGCTACTCCAGCTCCCCCAGCTGCCCCGGCTGGCACGCACACTGCCCGAGGAGCTCCCGCAGTCAGAGCTGGAATCGGAGCAGAACTTGTCTGCACACTTTTTCTCAGGCTTCCGGTAGTAACCTTCTGGAGGAAGAGTGAGAGCAGTCATGTTTCCCTGAAACAACTGTCAACCTCATGCATTTCTAGCAGAAGGAGAGAGGCGACAGGAGGAGGAAGGCCATGTTCACCTTCAGCAACCTCTGCTCATCTAGCAAGAAAGAAGGCATTCATGGGAACTAATGGTTGAACTATGAGAAATAGAGGATAGGCTGTCTACTCTGCCTACAGCAGGAGAATTAAGGGCTAAGATGGCCAACACCAACTATATAAACACGATCTAATAATGATTCTTCAAATAACAAATAAGTTCTATCAAGAAAACTGAGGCTACTCTATTGCACCGAAGAGTCATAGGGGATTCTCCCCCTCTCTTTTAATAAGATGTCCAATAAAAGTTTCAAAATATTGATACATGGGTGGGAAGACTCCTCAATAAGACCAAAAGCAACACACGCGTGTCAAGGGAATGAAAAAATAGAGGTGGAGGTAGAAACGAGCTAAGTGTGCTGGCCTGTGTGTGTGTGACATGGGCATGTGTCTGGAGAAAATGGGTGTTACGACCCCCACCACCCCATACCCCACATGTTCCAGACCCTATCCTGTACCAGACCCTGGACTCAGCACTGGGTGTCCCTTCTACCTACCACTCCCAGGGACACTGCCCAGCAGGCCTTGGACGGGGCAGTAGCCTGGCTCTGCAGAATCCCAGGTGTGGGGCTAGCACCATCTCACTTGGTCAGTCCCCACTTTCACCAAAGGGGGCCTGTCTAAGCAAGCCAGCATCGTTCCTTCAGCAATGTGCCTGAGGACAGCTATGACTGGCCAGACTGCAGGGCAGGGGCCAGCACTAGAGGCCTACTCAGAGTCAACCAAATCTTAGTTTTCTGATCTCACCCGAAAGCTTTCCACTGGGGCTTTAGTCATTAGCTAAGTCATTAGTCATTTCTCTTATCAGACACTTCCTCGAGGAAACAAAAATTCCACCAGAAGCATCATTTGTAGCTCAGTGTCATTACATACCTGCCTCTCTCTGGGCAACAGGTAAACTGCTTGCAATTTCGGCATCTGCTTTACCAATCTCCCTGGTGCTTTCCTGTACACACCAGCTTCGCACATTGAGGTCGCTGCTCAGCTCAGACCTCTCAAAGTCACTGCACACAAGCTTTAGGTCACTCTGTTCAGAAAGCCTGCAAGAGCCACATACACACACAAAAAACACATCTGTATTTTATCATGTACACATGCAGACTTCCTTTCCATGAGACTGAATAGAGGTGAAAATATGAATCTGGGGACTATAAGAGTCCTCTTCTCTTTGGGTCTGGTGGCAGAATATGATGAGCAAAAAGGCATACCAATAAGAAAAGGATTTTGTCATTTTAGAATTAATTTTGAGCTCATTTAATCTATTTTCACAGTTTACAGTGAGAGGAGCAAGACTCTGCAAGGTCACTCAAAGTCACCTGATAAGTGGCAGGTCCAGGGCCAGAACGCAGGACTCTTGGCTTGTTTTCCCTGTTGTTAGTGCAAAACATGATTTTTCAATAGATGAACCTGTTTCTTGGTGTCTGGCAGAAGGTATGAAGTGTTCATTTAAATGCATTCTAATTCACTCACTTAACAAACATCTGTTGAGTGGCCACCACGTGCCACATACTGTTATGAAAGGTGCAGTGGCTACAAAGAAGAATAAAGTTCTTTTCCCAAAGATCTCAAAATTGAACAATACCTCTCTTACTAGACCTTGAATGCCTCAAGGGAAGAACTGCAAAACAACTTCATAAATAGCAATACAGAAATGTAGAAAATACTACCAGAGAATTTCACAGAGTCCAATTTCAGTACCTAATGTTAGGTTTGTAGGAAGACAGGTAAGATCAAATATGTGAGATGTGCCAGGTAATTTCAACGATTTCTGATCAAGTTTAAAAAAAGGGGTATATAGACAGAAACAAGAGCCAAGGACATAGACAATCTGAAACAACCTACTTCTTAAGTGTCACGACCCCAAAACAGTATAAGCTTCTGGATACTTGAAAGTTATTTTTCAACGACTTGATTTATTATTTCTTTATGTCAGAAATCTGCTTTTAAAAATGTATCCTAATGTTTAACTGGTGAAGTTCCACTTTAATTTTATATCTTTCTATATGCTCACATCAGGAAAATATAACTTTAAAGTGACCTCAGAGTCGATCACATGTTTATGAGGATACATGTAAATGAATCCAACTAGGTCTGAGGCTTTTCCTTTCTATGGTATACTGCCTTGCAGCTTTCAAATCACTTAGTCTACATAATACAGGGCTAAATAAAGAAAATTACCTGTTAATAATTAGAACTTATTGTTAGCAAGAAATTAATATTGGGTATGTGTATTTTTTTCACATTTGTGTTTTGCTGATTGCTCAGCGTAAGCTGGGTGTTGAATTGGAGCCTGAAGATACCCGGGAGCTGCTGTACATCTGAGCACTGCTGGGGAGCTTGCTACAGTGCTGAATCCCAGGCTCTGAATGGAACCTCCTCGGGGGCCCGCAAGCAGGCCCATAAATAGTACCATGTGTGCTCTGTGCCAGCAGCAGTTCTGTCAGAGGTCCCTCCCAACAAGCTGAACTGCAACAAGGTGGAATTCCTTTCCCATGCAAATGTGCAATTGCTAGAGAAAAATCTAACAGAAACACATTGAAACACCTAGCTGAGCTCACAAAGAAGAGAACTCTCTAGACGCCAGAAATTCAAAGAACAAGCCAGAGTGGGGAAGGTCAGGGGTACCAGGCAGGAGACAGGCCTGACTGTCCAGGAGCTGGGTTTTAATGCCCCCAGCTCCAGGACATCCTCATACAGGCATCAGGGAGCTTAAATGAGTCTCCTGTATGAGACTGGGGCCCTGGAATGGGGCATCCTCAGTACACAGGAGACCAGAAAAGCTCCATCCACAGACCCAGTGAGGAAGAGAAAAAGGAGCACATCTCTGCTGCAGGCTCCTGGCACATGCATGTGTGGGAGGCTGGAAGTCTAACCTGAGAAATCAAAACTCAGAGACCATACCACCTGCGGGGACTTGGAGTCAGAAAGTACATACTACTGACCTGGTGGAAAAATCCCCAAGCTGAGAAATTTATAAAAATTAGATTTAGGTCACGCCTGTAATCCCAGCACTTTGGGAGGCTGAGGCGGGTGGATCACAAGGTCAAGAGATCGAGACCATCCTGGCCAACATGGAGAAACCCTGTTTCTACGAAAAATACAAAAATTAGCCAGTCATGGTGGTGCCTGCCTGTAGTCCCAGCTACTTGGGACGCTGAGGCAGGAGAATTGCTTGAAACTGGAAAACGGAAGTTGCAGTGAGCCAGGATCACGCCACTGCACTCAAGCCTGGCAACAGAGCGAGACTCTGTCTCAAAAAAAAAAAAAAAAGATTTAGGGGAATACTTCCGGCACTCCAGTAATACAGGATTCCCAAACAACCCCTGTTTGGCTCCTTCATTTACAGATAAGAATATGAGAGCTCAGGGAAATTAAGTGTCTCAAAGAAGCAAGGTTTCCAAAGCAGACTGCCACACTGCCTGGGTTCTAATTCTGGATCTGCCCCTTTCCAACTTGTGGCTTTGAGCAAACCACATAGTGTCTGGACATCTCACTTCCTGCAGCCGTAAGAACCTACCTTCTGCAGGACGGAAGCAAGGGTAACCTGAGGGGTAAATATTCTGTTTCATTACTATGATCCCAGAGAGCGCAGGTGGGTCAGTGGCTGAACAGGGAACAGAAGACGCAGCCTGTGCCCAGTGGGTTTCTCTAGTTCCTGTTCCACAAATGCTCCTGCCTCTCAGAAGCAGAATGATGGTATCCACATGGAGGGATGGCATATGCCTTTCCCCTAAAAACTACCGTATCTGTTAGCATTTTATAAAGAAAAGATACGCCATGGTCACTTTAAGGTATTTTTAACAAAATAAAAACATAATGGGAAAATGTTAATTTTACGAATGTATTTTAATCTTGATATAAACATCTACATTCTCATATTATCTGTATCTAACAACACAGAAATGAGTTTAAAAGCTAACAGCCAAATGCAAAATTCTAAAGTAAAAAACTGATCAATGTGTTAAAGGGACAGTAAGAATTACGTACCTTGAGACTGGGGCAACACCCCTCTTCTTGTTCCTTCTACATGATCGACTTTTATTCCAATTTAAATTTTGTAAATTTCCTTCTCTTTTCTCCTGAAGCTTTTTCTTCCTATAAGGATCTTCTTGCTAAAGAAGAAAAAGTAAATGTTTGTTTAAACTGACTATAAATAAAAACACGTTTAAATTTTTGAAGACCAATTCCATCTGAATTCAGAATGTCCCAGAGCTGTTGAAAACGGAGACGTATGTTTCTCAGTCTCTAGTTTGTTTTCTTTTCCCTTCTTGCTCTACTTCCCTCCAGATCCACAGAAAAAGAAGAAAAAAGAATTGTTGCCTATAAAATTCCTAAGAGGCTAAAAAGTAAAAACATCTGCTAGCAATTTATGACCAGCTTGCTGTTAACTTTGCGGCAATAAATCCTCCAGCCTTCACCTGTTAATTTGGTATGTGCAACTCACATAAATTACTGTACTATGAAGAAAAATCAGGTAAAAACTCAATTTAGGAGCAAGTTGTGTATTTACATTTTTGTTTACAGACGAACATTGGGAGAACAACCAAATCTCTATAGAATGCTCCAAACTAGTTTAAGCTTCTTGGATAAAAAAGGCAAGAATATGCCTGATGCTTTAAAAATGTGGTTCTGAAAAGCATCAGCACAAGATGCATAAATATTAGATATATGTATTAAATAGGTATAGTTTTCTCAATTGGGACCATTTCCTCTTATAAACGTCAGGCTTGGTCTATTAACAGAACCAAAAGGAGAGGGATTCCCCTTGCCCTTTCAAATTAGAAAATAGGTCAAGCCTTGAACATCCTCTAATACTTACTATTTCTCTTCCTTAAATATGTTGCCCCCTTAAAGCAAAGACACTGTCAGTACATGGGCGGTGGTGGGAGCTCACACACTGAGACCCAAAGGCTAAAAAGACACATCTTTTCAGTGTGTTAGGTCCTTTCAGAAGGAAGATGTCTTCTCCAGGAACCTCACAGAGGCAAATCCCCTGGGTCCAGAAGAGTCCCCTTCCTACCGACTCTTAGGATTCACCCTTCTTGGAAACCAAAGATTGGCTCATTTTACCTTCTCTTTCAGAAGGTTGGCCCAGCAATCAGAGTAGGAATTGTGAAGTTGAAACATACACTTGACTAACACGAATAACTTGAAAGGAGAAAAAGAAAAGGTTTTAGATAACCTGAAATACCTCCAAGTTCTGGGATATTAGAACCTTCATGCATCTATTAAAGCAATGTGCATACCACAGTGAATAAACACTAGAGGCAAAATGGCATTTTCACTGTATAGGATGTGTGATTTTGACATTTTTGCTTTCTCCTTTATACACTTTTGTTTCCCCCAATAGGTATATATTAACCTTTCTCTGATTCTGAAGGTATTTTTAAAACCTGACAAGTTAAACACACAAAGCCCTATCCTACAGGACCTTATGCTAATTCTTCAAGTTTGAAGCTAAACACAAGGACATGTGGACTCAGGATCTAATGTTAAACAGACATGCAGCACATTTATTCATGCATTGTTCCTTTGTGTATTTCTAACTTGGTGGGGGGTTTCCCACCCTCTGTCCACTGAAGAGCAAACAAAGGCTTGTCGACCCAGCAAGCACTTGAGCCTTTCCATCCCTCCACGGTCAGTGGGGTCTGAGAAAGCGTGAGCTGGTAAGCAGTCTCTCTGATACTTGGCTGCCTTTCTCAAAGCCGAACTGTCATCCTCTGCAAGCAAAAGAGTGAGTACATTCAAGACTACTGAGAGTCAGGACCTGGTGACCAGAGCATCAAAGAGTTCTCCATGAGTATGACAAAGAAAAGCAGAATGCAGACAAGCGAGATTCAGAGGCGTGAGACGCATCCCAGAAAGAGTGGGAAGGGAGCACCTTCCAAATCACTGGGCCACGAGGAGGGAAGTGGCAGTGAGTTGAGCTGAGAGAGAACAGGTCTGCAATGGAGGCAGTGGGTGGAAAGGGAGGGAGAGCAAGCCAGAGCACACAGCACACACCTGTCAAGAAATCCGAGGAAGAGCAAAGGACCACCTGGCTGCTTTCTGGTACAGAGGATCCCAGAGAGAGGAGGGTGGGACTAACCAGGAAACTGAAGAGTCACATGGAGCTGCAATTAAGAGCACATCTCCAAGGGTAAACTGTAGTGTCAATCTCATGAATGATGACCAGCTGTGTAACCTTGGCCAAGTTACCGAGCCTCTCTGCCTCAGTTTCCTGAATCAGTCTCAATGCACTGTGAGGACTGAAATTACCTAGCATCTCATCAGCCATTTACATGAGACTTATCATCATCATCACTACTGAGTTATTTGGTGGTTTCTTTTGTTTTGTTTTGTTTTTTGAGACAGGGTCTTGCTCTGTTGCTCAGGCTGGAGTGCAGTCATGCAACTGTGGCTCACTGCTGCCTCAACCTTCCAGGCTCAAGCAACCTCCCACCTCAGTTTCTTGAGTAGCTGACACTATAGGCAAGTGCCACCATGCCCAGCTATTTTTTTTTAATTTTCTGTAGAGATGGGGTCTTGCTGTGTTGCCCATGCTGGTCTTGAACTCCTGGGCTCAAGGAATTCTCCTGCCTCAGCTGAACTATTTGAACTATTTTAGTGAAGTTTGCTGAGCTCTCTGATAGAGGTGATGATTTAACAAATGGCAGCATGGAGAAAGATTTCCTAAGCTTTACTAAAAGCAAAGGAAGAAATCAAAGAAGAGAAATCACAGCCTTACTGCACAAAGCCATTTTAAAAGCCACTGTGTATAAGTAAAATCAAATAAGCAATAACAAGTTTGCTCAGTCCCTTAGCAAACTGAGAAAAAACTCTGATACACAATATTTGATAAAGTTGGTATCTTTAACACAGAAAGTGCTCTTACAGAGAATAAAAAGACACTAACAGTCAAAAGAAGAACGGGCAAAGGACATGAAATACAAATTCATTAAAGAAATATAAAAGCAAAAAAAAACACAAAGAGCTCGTTCAAAATATTTCATCGTAAAATAATGCTTTTGGGAAAGGTAAATCATGGACTACCTTGTGTCTCCTCTTTCCATTTTGGTTTCAGAAAACACAATGTGTTTATGATGCATAAAGACTAAGAAATGGCTGCGGAAGCAGGATCCTGTTCACTGTGTCTGCCTCTGAAGTGTGGAAGCAGAACTAGGTTAGATATTTACCTCTTAATTTCTAGAATTTCTTTTCAGTGGTAGCATTTTGAATGGATAGTTTGTGTTTTTCAGCCTGCTACAAAAAATGAAGAAAATTACTTACCTTTCCCTGGTAAGAAAACTAAACCACGACTGCTCACCTATCACACTGACTAAGATTCTACAAACAATTGATGCTGCACAGTGGAAAATGAAAGCAGCATGCTCAGATACAACACGTGAACAAATCTGTACCAATGTTCTGGAAAGTAATCTGTCAGCACACATAGGAGCTTTACACAGTTTATAACTGCATTAGTCCATTTCATGCTGCTGATAAAGACATACCCAAGACTGGACAATTTACAAAATAAGGATGTTTATTGAATTCACATTTCCATGTGGCTGGGGAGGCCTCACAATCATGGCAGAAGGTGAAAAGTACGTCTTACACGGATGACAGCAGACAAGAGAAGAGAGAATGTGCAGGGAAACTCCCTGCGAGACTTATTCACTATCACGAGAACAGCACAGGAAAGACCCACCCCCACAATTCAACCACCTCCCACGACATGTGGGAATTGTGGGAGTTATAATTCAAGATGAGATTTGGATGGAGACACAGCCAAACCATATCAATACCCTTCCATTCTATTTCTTGACATCTATAACAAAGACTTACCAGATACACAGGTAAGAGGAACAAAACTCTGAATAGCAGACTTATAATTATGAACGTAAAAAGCTGGAAACAATCTTAATGTCCAATGGCAGAAGAATGGTTTACATGATGGCACAGTTTATATGATGAAATGTTATGTCACCAATGAAAACAAAGCTCCCCATTTAATTTTTATAGAAAATTTAGTTGTAATGTTATGACAAAGCTACGGACAATGATAATAGTTATTATCTCAACTATTTTTATAAAATAATAGCTTTTAAAAATCTGCATAGAAAAGAATACAAAAACATTAAAAGTGGTTTATTCTGGATAGATCTTTTCCTACCTTATTCTTTATGCTTCTATAATAATCATGAATTACTCTTCTAAGGAAAAAAAAATCTGCTTAAAAGAAAGTAAAAAGCCAAGCTAAGGTTAAAATTTAATTTGTGGATTCCAAACCTGGGCTTTAACCTTCCTTGCCAATAAGTCCAGAGGAATGTTCCACCTGTATTATATAGACAGATTTATACAATTTTGTAAGCTGCAAAATTAGGCTCTAAGAATGTGCAAGAAAAACAAACACTGAGACCTGAACTTGGGAATGTGTTAACTGAGAATGATTTTCACCAAATGAACAATGAAATGGAAACTACTGATACACTCACAGGACTTTTAAAGAACAGTTCTACAAAACAAGGAGTGAGTCACAGCGACAGGAAAGAAATGACAAACCACTGCCCCCAAATCTGCACCAGATAATCCACCTTGGTTGACTTGGTTGGACAATCTTGGGCCATAAAACACAGCTTATGCCATCCACATCCCTCGGATGGACGTGTCTGCTGTGAACTGGCTGCCACCATTAGGTGCAGATGTCTGTTCTACACAGGTTCACAGACCAAACAATGAAGGAGAGTCTTAGAGAACCACTAAGACTGACAGCAAGAGCAGCCTTGAGCTCCAGGGATGGATAGAGGTGAACGGCAAGACTCATGCCCTCAGGGATCTAACAGTAAAGACACACAGAGAAGAAAATACCTTGAAGAAATTAAGAACACTGCCATCACCAAGGGCACAGCTAAGCCTGGCACAGAGAATCAGAAAGACTTCAGTGCGGGAGGAGAGTCTGAGATAGGCACTGGCACCCACACATGTGGCAGGTGGAGGCCAGTGGCAGCACTGTTATTCCTTAGGGCCATCTTGTGCTGAGGGGACGTTGGGATAATCCATTCCAGCTTCCACTCCCAGCACATAAGGGTGTGCATCTGGTGCAGTCAGTACATGGAAGCATCAGCTTCTATTTCATTGCAGGGCAACAGGTAAGACTCCAAAGCCCATATCAAAAGGATGTTAGGTTCAACTCCTAACTTTACTCATTCCCTCCTATCCCAAATTCAATGACTTTTTATTTTATTTCTGCTCCTGAAAGTGTGCCCTACCTTCTAGGTCTAGCTTTTAGTATACTTGCTATACCTGCACCCTCAGCCAGTCTGCAAATTCAACACTGCCTCCTCCCCAAGGTCTGGATTCAGGGACCCTGTCTTTTCTCTGTGCACACCTCATAGGCTCCACGTCTAACCTCCACGTGAGTAACCCCAAATCTCAAGCTCCACGCCTAACTTGTTGCAGAAGCTCTAGTTCCCCACCTCCCACTGTCTACCATACATCTCACTTCAAAGTCCAGTCACCCTCTCTGTTGGTATGATCATTATCACACCTATCACTTTGAGACTTACTGCCTGTCAATACTTTGTAAGCGCTGCCATTCCAAAGCAATTCTCAAATTAACCCACTTCTCACAACTCTTTGAGGTAGGTATACTATTACCACCCTCATTTGCAGAAGGAGAAAAATGCAATGTTAAGTAACTAAACAAATATTATAGAATGAGTACACGATGAGCTGGATTCAAACCTAGAAGAAGCTTGACTAAAGTCCATGCTCTTAACCATGATAACAACATTGCTTTGACAAACATAAAAAAGAGCTCATCACATCCATCAGAATTCCCCATTCCAGTCACCCAGGCTTGGAATCTTAGAGCTATGTTTTGTAAATGGCCATGTAAAAAAATGACTCCCTCTCCTGCATGCATTTAGTGCTAAGAAGTCCTGATGGTTTTTCTCTTCTAAAATGTCTCTTACCTACTTTCTTGTCCTTTACTCCTGCTCAAATGTAAGCCTTGATTATATCATATCTCCTCACAGAAAACAGCCTGTTTGTTAGAAAAGAGCTGGTATTCATTTCCTCCCTCTTCAATCTCCAAAACACTGAGATGATCTTCCAATAATGTCTTATATTCACATTCATTCAAGCATTTACTCAACTACACTAGTTCTATGCAACAGGCATCCTGACAGTCTTTATAAAACTGAATTGAACAACATCTGATTGTTACCTTCAGGAAAATCACAGCCCACAGATTGCCTTCAATTTGGTAACCACTGTCCACTCCCCCACCCCCTACCACCAATTCAATAGCTCCCCAAAATCTGCAGAAAGGTCCCAAAGTAGCAATCCTTGGGCCAAACTCTCCAAAACAACTTTTTGTTTGGACAAATATGCTTTTAACAAATTTGATTCTGAAATTCCTTAGCAGGCAACAATTCTTCAGTTCTCTACAGATACCACTACCTTCTTGTTGCTTTCACTCAGCCTATGTCACCATTTGTGTTTCCCATCAAGACCTAGAAAACAAAGTCTGAACTTTCAATCAGCATTCAATGGCCTTCCAACCTAGGAGGACTCTGACCTCTCCCTCCCATTACTTTCCAACAGGTAGCTTCTTCACAGCCAGACGGCTCCCTAACTGCACCCAATTATGTCTCAATAGCTGCTCCACCAGCGGGGCTCAGTGCTGCCCACCTTCCCTTCTCTGTTCTTCCACATGCTACCTGCACAAGTTTCCACCTCCTTCGGAAGCTTTCCATGTGGTGTAGGCACCACAGCCAACACAGGCTTTTCAATCTCTGAAATCCCCTCTACTATGAATCTTGGTGTTTTGGTTACACAGAAACCTCTTCTTTCCAAACAGACTGTAAATTCATAGTTTGGACTGCTGGCAACATACTTATTCTGTATCATTTCCACTATATTTCAATCAAAAATTCATGTTTATTATAAAGTTTAAACAAAAGAAAATAAAGAAGAAAAAAGAAATCATCCAAAATCCCACCACTCAGAAATAACCAGGTCTCCCACTAATTATTTCACAAACCTTATTTGTGAGTATTTTTCTGAGCCTACACATGTGAAAGAATGGCAGTACAGATGATGAGAATAATTTATAACACTAGGAATATATATCATTTTAAACTAAAAATTTAAGGCTCCATTTTATATGAATTTAACGTAAGAAAAATAAAGTAGAATCAAAGGAACTGCCAAGTTTGAAAGAATTATTTCTTCAATTCATGCTATATTAATTCCTTAAGGATCTCTCTAAGGTTAAAAAAAAAAGACTGTAAAAATATTTTCTTAATTTATCACCCTTTTAAACTACATGTTTCATGTTTTCTTAGTACTGGCTCTTTACCGAGAAAGATTAAAATTAAAATTTATTTTCACCTACCTCCCAATCCCACCTCCTGGTTTCTGCAGATTATATTATTATTTTTACTTGGTTAAAGTTTCAATTTTCCAATCTGTTCTGTGGTTAAAATTGCCAAATTTTTAGTCTTTGTTCTGGATATAAAATGGATTGAAGCCTCAGCCAGAGACCTTTATTATGCCGTCTTCCATCCTGAGTGTTCATTTGTACTTCTATCTTGCTTAGCTAAATTTCATTAACTTGATTTTACAAGAACGGCTTATGATTTCATTTGTATTTAAGGACATCTGTCTGTTGTCTTTGTACTTGAGCATTAACTTGGCTGGACACAATATTCTTTGTTTACATTTCCATTCTCTCAATGATACCACTCCACTGTTTGCTGATATTAGATGTTCATATTGAAAAGTCTGAGGCAAGCTTAAGTTTGTACTTCTTGATTTTCCTGTCTTTGCACAATTCTTTATGGCTGAAGTGCAATTAATTTAAGTACCTACGTCCATTATGATGCATCAGTTTTTCCTGTTGTATACATTGTTCCCCTTTGATCTATAAATTTACTTCTTCCCGTATATCAGAAGAATTTTCTTCTATTATATCATGAATACTTTTCTCTTCTTTTACAGAGAAGATGATAATAGATACAGGGACAAAGACAGACAAAAAGCAATACAACTCAGCAAGAGTATGCCCTAAAATATAAATGTTCAGTAATAACTGGATAAAAGAAATAATGTTAGTCAAGTTCTACTCTTCCATCATTACTTAGAAATTACCCATTTGCTTAAAAATAGATTCTCTTCAGAGTAAAAACTATCTGGTTTCTCTAAAAATTACTGTAGTAACATCTATATAATTAGAAGGTAAGTAAAATCCTCTGAACACACACATCAAACTCACCAGTTATCAGTATGGATTCAAATGCAGTGAAACATATGAAATGTACATGTTCACTTAATACACAATCCTAAAAATGAGTTTTGTTCTTTTCAATAGGCAAGAAAAAAATACAGACCTCCATGAAAGGTATGTCCTGTTTCTCAGAACATATGTCTTCTCTAGATGTTTTGTGAATCTTCTTTTCTGAAGAAGGCTTTGTGTCCACCTTTTTCAAAGTTTCACAATGATCTACTTCATTCTTGACAGGTACTTGCTGGTTATTCCCTTGAATAAACAAATACAATTCAATTTCTAGCTAATAGTTTCCACTCACATTCCCCATGTTCTTTCCTAAACTAAACATCTCATTTGACTTCATGAGAGTTCAACTTAGCATTGTTTTTTAACATCCATGATGCTCCAGAAATTTATTTTGTTCACAGATGAAAGTATATTTACATTAAGAGTCCTACAAAAAGTCAAGGAAAAAGGTGGGGGAGGGAAACACCAATATTCACAGCATTATTATTCATAATAACCAAAAAGTGGGAAAAGTGTCCACTGATGGATAAGTGGATAAACAAAATATGGTATACACATACAACAGAACACCATTCAGAGTGACTCACTGCACAACACTGTGAAATGCTTAAGGCTACTAAATTGTACAGTTAAGATGGTCATGGATGGGCGCAGTGGCTCACGCCTGTAATCCCAGCACTTTGGGAGGCCTAGGCGGGTGGATTACGAGGTCAGAAGGTTGAAACCATCCTGGCCAACATGGTGAAACCCTGTCTCTACTAAAATAGAAAAAATAGCTGTGACTGGTGGTGTGCACCTCTAGTCCCAGCTACTCAGGAGGCTGAGACAGGAGACTCACTTGAACCGGGAGGCGGAGGTTGCAGTGAGCCAAGATCACGCCACTGCACTCCAGCCTAGCAACAGAGCAAGACCCCATCTCAAAAAAAAAAAAAAAAAAAAAAAAAAGTCAAGATGTTTTTTTCAAAAAAAGGAATGAAATTCTGGCACATGCTACAACAGGATGAACTTTGAAAACATCATGCTAACTGAACTTAGCAAGATATGAAAGGACAAATGTGTTATGATACCACCCATGAGGGAACTAGAGTAATCAAATTCATAGAGACAGAAAGTAGACTGGTGGCTACCAGGGACTGGGGAAAGAAGGCAACGGGTATTTATTATTTAATGGGTACAGATTTACTGCCTGAGATGACTAAAGTTCTGGAAATAGAAATGCATAGTGGTGATGGTTGCATAACAATATGAATGTACTTAATGCCACTGAATTTTATAATTTAAAATTGTTCAAATGGTAAGTTTTATGTGATGTATATTTTATATATACATATTTTTAAGCTGGCAAAGAGGGAAAGAAGGATAAGGACTTGGATTCTGGTCATGACAGCCACTAATTAGTTTTACAGTCAAAGTTAAGTCTCATTAAGCTGCCTGTGCCTTAGTTTTCTTATTTATAAAATGAGCACAGCCCCACCTTCCTTGCCTCCCCTGTTTGACAATTATAAAGATGAAAACAGAACAGATATAAATGTAAAACATCCCCACCAAGGGACACACGAACTGTTCATGGAAGGTCCTCCCTGCTACAGTGAATGCCTTCCCTGCCCCTAGGGAGCAGCCAATCGGCAGAGGAGCCAACAGCTGATTCATCAGATGGCAAAAGTGGGTGCTGGGAGGAACTGTTTCTGAAATTTTTTTTTTCCATTTTTCTTTTAAGTGATTTCATGAGTGTACTTCTTCTATCTCTTATCCCACAACAAAAGCAAATCAATTTCAACCCCACAATAACCGGCCTGTTTTCTAATTTGACACGATGTATTTTAGTACCTTCTTTTTTCTTAAACTGAGAATCCCTAATGATACCTTTGAAATCTGAGAAGCTTACTTACATGACCATGGGGCAGGGCAAATATTTGCCAGCAAAGCAGGCTGCAGGCTCTGGTGGATGGACACCTAACCAGATTACCAGCAGAGGCTCCAATCCAGCCCTGCTGTGGGGCGTGGGGCGTGGGGCGTGGGGCGTGGGGCGTGGGGCAGGGCAGGTTTCTCACCCACAAAAGGAAAGGAGCAGTCAAGTCCCCTCTGATTCTGAAATTTGAGGCTACAAATTAAACTCACTCAAAGCAAGATACACAAATTTTTCAAATAACACTTACTAGGTAAACATACTTTCATTTAGTTAACAGAAAATTATATAAATATTATGTAACCACAAAAATGCCAGGCAAGCAAATGGCACACACCTTGTAAAGTAATGCAGGTTTTTATGGTTTAAGTACACCTATGACATACTAGGTCTTATACTTTCAGAAAAAGGGACTCTATCTCAAAATTAAGGTTATACTCTACAAATGTCACAAGACAAATACAGAAAATTAATCTTTTGGCCAGACTCATTACATAAAATAAAGCATCATGCCATGTTTTTAATGCTTTTGGCTATGATGGAAATACAAGGGCCAAAGTCATATCCAGAGACAAAGCTGATCACTATCAACTGCTTCCTTTAATAACCAGGAATAACTTCCACAGTAGAGTTAGTGAAGAGTGTGAATCAAAGTCTACTAAGGCTATTTCCCAGGAATTTCTGTCCCTGTAGGACAGTCAACTATTTGCCTAGAGGGTTTAGATCACCTCATTTAGGGGACTGTGGGACACAACTTTCAGATCCTTTTCAAACCTGTGCATTTCTGAACTAAGAGCATCTAACAGCAGCCCTGTGGAATCACTATTACCCTCCATTTCCTACTTTGTCAAATAAAAGTCATTCTTTAGCAGACATCACCATTGAAATTTAACTCCTTCAAAATACAAATTGACGGTTAAAATTCCACAAAGGAAAACATCAAATACTGTGAAATAGTGAAGCAGACATCCAAAAGCAAGGCAGACAGCGTCCGTACCAGAAAAAGAAAGCACAAGAAGAATATTCCTTTGGATTCTGGAAGCCATAAGTATGAACTACAATACAGATATTTGCCTCAAAAAATAGATGCCATTACTCTCCTGGTGTCCTAATTTGGGAGAAAATGAATTTCCTTAAGTTTTTTCTTCAGGCCAAGAATATAGCGCTAAAAGTATTAGTCATCAAAGTTTCTTAGGAAGGATAAAAATTTAACAGCCGGTACAAAACCATCCCCAAAACGTCATAACGCACGGACTTTTAGAAAATTAGAAATGCCTTCTGTGGGGCCAAGACTCAGGACAAGCAATAAAATGAATGTTAATAACAAGTTCTGCAGTGACTCTGAGAAATTTTAACATGAAAGTATTCAAGAATATGGGATACTGAATACATACATCATTTACAAATGGCGTCAATCCACATGTTGTGGTTTGGCTCTGGGTCCCACCCAAATCTCATGCTGAATGGTCATCCTCAGTGCTGAGGAGCCTGGTGGGAGGTGACGTTCATGGTGACTTTTCCCTGGCTATTCTCATGATAGTGAGAGACTTCTCACAAGATTTAGTTGTTCAAAAGTGTGGCTATTCTCACAAGATTTAGTTGTTTAGAAAAGTGTGTAGCACTTCCCCCTTCACTCTCTTCCTCCTGCTCCCACCACAAAAGACGTGCTTGCTTTCCCTTCACTCTTCACCATAACTGTGTTTCCTGAGGTCTCACCAGAAGCAGAAGCCTGTACAGCCCACAGAACCATGAGCCAATTAAGCCTCTTTATAAATTATCCAGTCTCGGGTATTTATTTATGGTAGTGAAAGAACAGCCTAATACTTCCCCATGACCTCACTGAGTAAGAGTGTTTGTGCCACAGTTAAAAATCAGAAACAAATGGAAGAAACACCAATAATAATAAAGGGGGAAGGAGAAGACTTTGGGAGGCGACTATGTTAATGCCCCTCGCGGTGGTAACGGTTTCACGGTATACACTTATTCTCAAACTCATCAAGATGCATACATTAAGTAGGTACAACTTTATAGCTCAGTAATTCCTCAAAAAAGAGGTTAAAATAAAAAACGAACAAACAGAAGAACAAGAAACAAGTGATCTCCTCATTAACCTGCTTAAAGTTGTACTGTCTCAAATCTAATCACAATCACATGGTCTATTTTGAACAAACCATTAAATCTTCATTTCAAGTTATTAGTATCTGTAAGTAAGTAAGAATTTTTTTTTTAATTTCTGCAAATACGAATAAGTTCAGAAAGTTGAGGTACCTAATTCAGTGAAAACTTTCAGGTACTGTTAAGCTCAAGGCTTAAGGTATTCTCACATTTAATTATATCTTTACATTATTACAGGTAGAAAGCTGTGAAATAATTTGTTCACTATTTCTCCTTGGTAGTGCTGAGGCCAACCACAGCTTGTCTTTAGCCATAATTATAAATCTACATTATTTTGATCAGTGAAAATGGTTATGAACATTTAAAAAGAGTATATTCACAAGATCATTTACATCACACATAAAGTCCCACTCTTGTCAGATGACCATGAGGTTCTGGAACATGTAACAAAGGTTTGACAAGTTTAACTTATTTTATAGTTGTTTGACAAGCTGATGCCAAGAAAATAGTGTAGAAAAACAGAGCCTTAAAGAATGTCAACAGACTATTTCTATTGGGAATTTTAATGTATTATTTACTATAGGCCTCTCTGATGCAGGCAGGGGAAATGGAGTAGAAAAGGGATAGACACATTTCTTTTTCATTTTTTGTTTTTGTTTTTATTTTTGAGACAGGGTGTCACTCGTTGCCCAGGCTGGAGGGCAGTGGCACAATCATGGCTCACTGCAGCCTTGACCTTCTGGGCTCAAGTGATTCTCCCACCTCAGCCTCCCAAGTAGCTGGGACCACAGGCCTATGCCCATGTACCACCAACCTGGCTAAATTTTTTTTTTTAAGATGGGGTTTTACCATGTTGCCCAGACTGGTTTGAAACTCCTGGGCTCAACTGATCTGCCCACTTCGGCTTCCCAAATAAGACACATTTTCTGTTACTTAGAAAATATTGTTTCTCGAAGAATGTATGTAGTCAGAACCATTAATATATACCCTAGAACATTTTCTTCTTACATAATAAGCCACACCTTGGCGGGGGGGAAGCCTCAGAATAGGAGAAGGCAGATTCTTCAGGTGGCCTCCAGGAGTTCTGACAGGTTAGGAAAATCACTTATGGTATTCTTAAGAGGCGGGTCTGTCCCTGCCTTTCCATTTTTCCCTTTGAGGCAACCTTATGACTAGAATGGTTTCTACAGGCCATTTGTATACTTTGGGAGAAATGGCTAAAACGTGGCAAACACACTGAGTGACTGGAAGTTCCCATTTTGCTGGAATCTTAAGCAGAATCCTGCCAGTCAACAGGAAACACCGTAACTGGTACTTAGGATTCTCAGCTATCAGGTGGCTTAAGCCCCGCTCAAAGACCAAGCTATTAGTACAATTCTACAAAAAAAAAATGCAGATTCTAGAAAAGATCTTACAGTAGAAACAACACACATTTCACAATGTGAAATACTTTTCAAAACTAACAAAGAACTAATGCTCAAAGCTGGAAGTAAAAACGAAGGTTCTTATATATATGTTTTTCTCATTCTCAAGCATTCTTTGCACTTGTGACTTACCTGTCAATTATTGCCTGTTTACCATCTGCCAAGTTACTGCAATGTTTTCCTCTGAAATTCAACAGAACCCCAAACCCTTAGTATGACTTAAAAACTCCAAACCCTCCCTTCAGACTATAATTATCTTTCCGTAGATTTCTCAGTCCTTTCTTATTTTCAATATTTTAAATTCTTGAATTTTAAATTGTACATGTATAGCAGGCAATTTATTCACTTTTTAACATCTTTGATATCTTCCTAGAACAGTGCCGTGAACATAAAACAATCAGAATGAAACGCATGTCAATGAATGAACTTCCCTGGGAGGATCTCCTGCTAACATAATACCCCTGTAGACAAGTAGAGGACCATGAATTAGCATCTCTGAATTTGCTACTCTGAACGTGGTGGAAATTAAAAGTTCTTTCCTCAGCTCTTATTTGATCTGACCAATAATCACTCTGGTACCACTTAACATGCAGCTGATCCAGCCAAAATTTTTTTTTTTTTAATTTTGGCAGTGAGATATTTGTTGCCCTTTAAAACATTATAAGCGGGCCAGGCGCGGTGGCTCAAGCCTGTAATCCCAGCACTTTGGGAGGCCGAGGCGGGGATCACGAGGTCAAGAGATTGAGACCATCCTGGTCAACATGGTGAAACCCCGTCTCTACTAAAAACACAAAAAAAAATTAGCTGGGCATGGTGATGCGTGCCTGTATTCCCAGCTACTCGGGAGGCTGAGTCAGGAGAATCGCTTGAATCCAGGAGGCGGAGGTTGCAGTGAGCCGAGATCGCGCCATTGCACTCCAGCCTGGGTAACAAGAGCGAAACTCCGTCTCAAAAAAACAAAACAAAACAAAAAAAAACATTATAAGCATACTAGTAATCTGTACAGGAAGGAAAGATTCTGGGCAGGTTTACCATCTACAATGATACAGGCAAACCCTATGTTTCCAGACTCACATATTAAATTTACTCATGCTTATTAAAGTATTATTACCTGATAATCTTGGCTCAGCTATTGGCATTGAACATCAAGCACTGGACAGGAGGATCCCAAATAAGAATTCAAATCCTTTGACCTACTCTGACACTACATTTCTCATCCATGCCTTTATATTCAACTGCTTTAAAATACTAAAGTGTAGGAGGTCCCTTCTATCCATCTACCACAATGCCGTGGGCATTGCAGCTTGCAGGCACATGTCTCTGTGGGCACAAGGGATCACAGAAGAAGCGTTTCTGGAGGGAGGATGCCGTCAAACAACTCTAATTTCAAGTGTGTGCAAAGTCATCCTATGTTAAAGACTGTGCTCAAGCCTAAAGCACTCACAAAACAAGGGAAGAGTCCAACAGGACTCACTCCATAATTTCACCCTTTCACATATGTTTTGTATTCCAGGCCCCACAGAGTGTCTGGGAGAGAAACAGAGTAAGACACCCAATCACCCTTTCATAATACATCCACAGGCAAGGTATACCATGGTTTGATTTGAAGATCTGGTTAGCTGCACTACCAGGGGGCATACTCACACGCCAGGTAGAAGAGACGCAGGGCACAGTGTCAACCCTGCAGAAATCAGTCCACTTCAGGCATGCGGACCACTCCCAGGGGAAACGGCAAAAACGAGCTGGACGAGGTGCACCAAGAATGCATGTGTGCAGATGCCTAGACCGCATTTCCCTCAGAGGACCAACTTTCTTTTAAATTTGAAATGTCCTTTTATAGAACATTTAAAAATCAACTTAGGATTTTTACCAAATGCATAAAGTTCATCAGGAGTTGTCAATCCATAACATCTCTGTACCTCTTCTCCAATATCAAGAAGTGAAAAACATGAGGTTATATATAGATGCTTCAAATAAGACAAAAGGCAACTGAGTTTTCCAGATTAAAGTGTCAACAATCTGACTATAGGCTGGGTGTGGTGGCTCATGCTTGTCATCCCAGCATTTTAGGAGGTCAAGGCAGGCAGATTGCTTCAGCTCACCCTGGCCAACATGGTGAAACCCCCCATCTCTACAAAAAAAAATACAAAAATTAGTCAGGCATGGTGGCATACGCCCATAGTCCCAGCTACTTGGGAGGCTGTGGTAGAGGACGGTTTGAGCCCGGGGGGTGGAGGTTACAGTGAGCCAAGATTGTGCTACTGCACTCCAGCCTGGGTGATAGAGCCAGACCTTATCTCAAACAAAACAAAACAAATCTGCTTAAACAAGTACAGAGATGTGCATATTAAAATGGTCAGAATGAACAAAGAAAAGAAAATAAATAAGCACAGGCCCTAAGGCTAGATAGAGGCCAAAGGGATTAAAGCGAAATGACAATTCTCTTTGGAGTCCGTCCTCCTAGTCTACTGTGGCTTGCATTTCCCTTAACTGCTTTTGTTACATGAGAACATCTGTCTTCTTTTAACCAAGAAATACAATTAGAGAAGAACCAGGGCCAGGAAACCTGAGATGGTGGCAGCTGTTATATAAAATAGCTGAAGTTTGATTCAGTCAGAAACATTTCATGGGCTGATTAATTTTTGCAAGTAGTCTGAAAATCTGTGTTTAAAAAAAATAATTAGGGCCAGGCTCGGTGGTTCACGCCTGTAATCCCAGCACTTTGGGAGGCTGAGGTGAATGGATCACTTGAGGTCAGAATTTGAGTGGGCTCAACCTAACCAACATGGTAAAACCCCATCTCTACCAAAAAATACAAAAATTAGCTGGGCATGGTGGCACTTGCCTGTAATCCCAGCTACTCAGGAGACTGAGGCAGGAGAATCACTTGAACTCAGGAGGCAGAGGTTACAGTGAGCCAAGATCACACCACTGCTCTCCAGCCTAGGAGACAGAGCAAGACTCCATGCCAATCAATCAATCAATCAAATTAGAAAAAGATGTCCATGTCCTCCCAAAAAGAAAATATGATGCATAGTCCTCTAAACTTAGGTACTAAAACTTAAACCTCTTAGTTACATTTTAAAAATCTGGTATCTTGTCTTGAACTTTTCATTTTATATCTTTTTTCAGCATTTAAACCTTTGCTAAAACTAAAAAACTCAGCATCCACAATTAAAACTAACAGTCACAGGTGAGTATGAATTCCACTAAAAACAGACTGGGGACAAACAGGAGAGAATTATCAAAGGGGATGAAAAGATTACCATTATTTTTTCTGGAAATTTCTGGCAAGTCTGCCTGGTGGTACTGAGGTGAGTTTCTTGGCAAATGGTTTTCAGGTAGTTTCTTGGAGGTCTTCAGTGGACAGAGCTCCCGTTCCTTGAACTCGGCTGTGTTCTCTGAAGTTTTAATGTCAGTTTCCTTAGGAAACATACATGTCTGTATTCCCTCCTTCATATGACACTGTGAAGAAGGACTATTGAAAACAATTGTGTTTTTCAGTGTGTTTTCTTCTTTATTCAGTAAGTTTTTGGGAAGGGTTAAATTCTTCTGCAGGTTGACAGTTATGCCACTTGCATATTTGAGGTTGATCCAGTTCTCACCCATGGCATCAGTGCAAATGTCCTCTTTAGCAGCAGACAGTGAGCTGCCCAGGGGCGGAGTCTGTTTTTCCTCAGTAGTCATGCTGGTGCTGCTGGCCGCAGCTGTGCTGGTTTTGTGTTTACTGTAATACACTGAGCACTTGTGCTTCTTCTGAGAATGACTATAGGTGGCTGGGCTCCTCTTCGCAGCATTCTGGATCCTGCTTTGGGGAGTGTTCACTGGAAGGCAGTTCTTCCCCCTGCCTTTATCAGAGGGGCCATATGTATCGAGAAAGTTCTTGCAATTGCTTCTGAATTTAAGAAGAAAAACATTTCGCATTAAGGCAAACCAAATCAGACTCTGCTTCTCTGCTTCCACATTCATGAGAAAAGGGCAGCGATCAGTAGTGAGTGTATTAGAAAGTTCTACCTTCCCTTCTTCTAAAGCTCCAGGAGTTTTCTGCCAATGAGAATACCCATCAACTAAGTCCTCACAAGGAGACTATCTCATAATAAAAGGAATAGGGCAGCTGTTCACATAATGACTTAAAGAAAATTTTGTGAAAACAAAATGTGGAATCAAAATTTGTATTTACTTAAAATGAAGTCAGAAATGAGTAATGTCAAAGGTAAGAAACCGCCCCCACTCCCAACCACACTACAGGAATTCTTACTTGTAAGAATGGGAGCTGATTACATCCACAGGACCATTGTTTTGCTGGGAAGAGGCGCTAGCATTTTGCCTCTGTCTTGTTTTCATGAATTCCATGAGAATGTACTGTGCTTGTTGGAAGGCTATTAAAATCACACCCAACAGGGACAAACTGAGGAAGAAAGCAGCAAGGTTCACTATTGCATGGTTCTGACTGGCATTCAAAAGACTAGTTTCATTACAGAAGAATGGGGAATGATTTACGAGAAACATCTGAAGATGCAGTACTAAAATTCCCTAAGATTTATGACATCATAATTTCCGATGTTCCTTAGAGATTAAAAAAAAAACACATACACACGAGTTTCCAAAATTGTGCATATTTATAAGCTTGACAGTACAATTCCATTTTTATAAAATCACTCAAACAGGGTCATGCTAGTCTTCTCAAATCATCACTGCATGAGCTAACACAAGTAATTAATATTTGTATCATCCACCATGACTGCCTGTGAACACACTATATATGGAACAGAACTGTCTCATACTTCTATGTCTGATGACTTTCTTCCAATTAGTTTACTATAACCTTAAAGTGTACCAGTGAATATTTCATGTATGTCACAGTTCTCAAAGCATGTAACAATTCTGCTCAATTCACATACTTTGACTACACTTGGGCAGTTTGCATTTTCATGCAACTTGCCTGGATGACTTCTCTACTCAGTGAGAGGAGAACAAGAGAGACAGTAGTGGTTTACCTGACAAAGAAGACTGTGAGTCTCCAAAATGATTCCTCCCAGCTGGGTCCTGGAACCACATCTGCACACAAGGGCAACAGGTGATGAGGGAGAGTCACATTGAGAGTGAAGCGAAATTCTAGGTCTGCTGCGGTTATAAGAGTTAGGTCCCGAATTACCCAGGAAGAGGTAAAGTCTGGAGTGAACCTGGAAATAAAAGAGTCATCTTTATGAACTTTTAATCATTTTAATTTTAGCCACAAGGCAAAATAGTGACAACACATCTTACTTCTACAAAAGAAATATTTACATAAAAACAACATAAGACATTTGGAATATCTTACATAACACACTGTTAAGAGCACCACAAAACTGATATCGAGTTAAAGCCCAATGCTTACACAATGCTGATATCGCGGGATGCATTTGGATCCAGGGAAAACTGATGACAATCCAGCACTTCAAATCCATACCCTTGGCAATTATACCCATTAATTTTCAGAAACAAAATAGTTATAGGAAGAGGTCCAATATTCTCAACTTTAAAGCTCTTTGTAATAGATAAAATTTGCTTGCTGTCTTTCAGTTCTAATGGGGGGCCAAAAAAAAAAGATATTTAGCATATGTGAACTATAAAATTTATTTAAAATCATTTATTGAATTGATATTTATTCAGCAAACCAAACTACATTACTAAAATGTGAAAAAAAAATCCGACATAAGCTCAAAGTATGATTTTTATCTAATTTCCAGAACAATTATAGATTCCATTCTAGGATACAACAGAGATACTTAAATAGGCAAGATTTTTCTTAAGTGAAATGCTCTACCAAGATACAAAAAGTAACCAAAATTTCTTCTTTGGTCCTTTACTTATTAAAGATTAAGGTTAAAAGTTTGTTCTTCTCAAAAGTCAAATAGTTTGATTTACTACAAGCCACCATATACCCCATGCTCTGTGATTTTCACTCACATTGAACCACGCACCAATTAAGAGTGTTCAAGTGCTTCTGTGTAAATCCATCACAGCTGCTAGAAACGCAGTTCAAACATGTGCCATACTACTACAAAGAAGCAAATGCTTGCGAATAAACAAGAACACATTTTATACTGAGTTTGAAAAAAGAAAGGTTATGACAAATTTTAAGTATCCTTGTGAATTATCATATATAAGGACTAATATTTTATCTGTTCTACAGGTTTTTTTTTTTTTTTTTTTTTGAGACGGAGTTTCGCTCTTGTTACCCAGGCTGGAGTGCAATGGCGCAATCTCGGCTCTCGGCAACCTCCGCCTCCTGGGTTCAGGCAATTCTCCTGCCTCAGCCTCCCGAGTAGCTGGGATTATAGGCACGCGCCACCATGCCCAGCTAATTTTTTTTGTATTTTTAGTAGAGACGGGGTTTCACCATGTTGACCAGGATGGTCTCGATCTCTTGACCTCGTGATCCACCCGCCTCGGCCTCCCAAAGTGCTGGGATTACAGGCGTGAGCCACCGTGCCCGGCTGTTTTTTTTTTGTTTGTTTGTTTGTTTTTTAAGAGACAGGATCTCATTCTGTTGCCCAGACTGAAGTGTAGTGGTGAGATCACTGCAGCCTTGAACTTTTGGACTCCAGCAATCCTCTGACCTCAGCCTCCCAAGTAGCTAGGACTACAGGTACACGCCACCACAGCCAGGTAATAGTTTAATTTTGTGTAGAGATGGGGTCTCACTATGTTGAGCAGGCTGGCCTTGAACTCCTGGGCTTAAGTAATCCTCCAACCTCAGAAAACTGAAGTGCTGGGATTATAGGCTCAAGCTATAACAACAGGTCTGGTTCTATAGTTTTTATATTACTTAATTCTATCATCCAAAGTCAACTCTAATGAATAAATGGGAAAGCAAATACCCTAAAGAAGAATTCTGAATGTAAAATTACTAACAAATCTTTTCTTTTCTTTTTTTGGACACAGAGTCTTGCTCTGTCACCCAGGCTGGAATGCAGTGTTAGGATATCAGCTCACTGCAGTCTCCACCTTCCAGGTTCAAGCAGTTCTCCGGTCTCAGCCTCCCAAGTAGCTGGGATTACAGGCATGCGCCACCACGCCAAGCTAATTTTGTATTTTTAGTAGAAACAGGGTTTCATCATGTTAACCAGGTTGGTCTCGAACCCCTGGTGTCGTGATCTGCCCACTTCAGCCTTCCTAAATGCTGGGATTATAGGCATGAGCCACCATGCCTGGCCGCTAATAAATCTTTTCAAATTCAGTGCTCATTTAGCATAGTTTTCTAAAACAACAACAAAATCTATTCAGCCATCAAAATAGTCCTACAAATGATCCAGGGGTTTCACCAACCAGGTTTCTCTGTAGAAAACATAGTTACACTAAAATGCTTTCTGTGTTTTTATAAAATTAAAAATAGTAACAGGAAAATAAGACAGAATTTACCAAAAGCATTTTACATTGACTGTTTATATCTGTTTCAGTTCCTGAGGAAGTTGCTGAAACTAATGTAAGTGATTTAAAGGCATTTCATTTAAACACATGCATAATTTAAAAGTTTTCTAGTGCATATTAATATATTTTAAATTCTGCACTGTCTGATACAGTAGCCATTAGACACATGCAGCTATTTAAACTTAATTAAAATAAATTTTAAATTAACTTCATCAGTCACGCCAGTTATTTTTATTTTTGGTTTTGCTTTTTTCTGAGACAGGTCTCACTTTGTCGCCCAGGCCAGAGTGCAGTGGCATGCTCATAGCTCACTGCAGCCTGGATCTCCTGGGCTCAATCAACCTCCCACCTCAGCCTCCTAATTGGGACTACAGGAATGTGCCATGATGCCAAACTAATTTTCTCTTATTCTTAGGAGAGATGAGGTCTTGCTTTGTTGCCCAGGCTGGTCTCAAATTCCTGAGCTCAAGAGATCCTTCCACCTTGGACTCCCAAAGTGTTGGGATTACAGGTGTGAGCCACCACGCCCAGCAACTAGTTATATTTAAAAACTTCTTTTCTTTTTTGAGACAAAGTCCTGCTCTTATAGCTCAGGCTGGAGTGCACTGGTGTGATCTTGGCTCACTGCAACCTCTGCCTCCCGGGTTCAAGCGATTCTCCTGCCTCAGCCTCCCAAGTAGCTGGGATTACAGGCATGTGACACCACACCTGGCTAATTTTTGTATTTTTAGTAGAGACAGGGTTTCACCATGTTGACCAGGCTGGTCTTGAACTCCTAACCTCAGGTGATTTGTCTGCCTCAGCCTCCTAAAGTGCTGGGATCACAGGCGTAAGCCACCATGCCTGACTATTTTTAGAGACTTCTTAACCACATGTGGCTAGCAGCTACTGTCTAAGACGACACAGATACAGAATATTTTCATCATCACAAAAAGTGCTATTGGTTAACACACTTTTAATCTTTTCTCCACCATTTCAGTGATTTTCTGTGATTAGGTAACTGACAGCCAAATTAACTGCTTCACGTATTTATTTTAAATATTTAACACTACTCTGATAATATAGCAACTACACAATCTTTTTTCCCTCTATATCTTTTCTGTTTGTTTGTTTTAGAGAGGGGATCTTGCTATGTTGCACAGGTTGGCATCAAACTCCTGAGCTCAAGTGATTCTCCCAACTTAACCTCTTGAGAGGCTGGGACTCCAGGTGCTGGTATGGTTTGGATCTGTGTCCCCACCAAAATCTCATGTTCAATTGTAATCCCCAGTGTTGGAGGTGGGACCTCATGGGAGGTCATTGGATCATGGGGGTGGTTTCTCATGGTTTAGCACCATCCCCTGTCCCAATGCTGTCTTTGTAATAGTGAGTTACAATGAGATCTGGTTGTTTAGAAGTGTGTGGGACCTCCTCCCCTTTCCTGCTCCTGCTCTAGCCATATAAGATGTGCCTACTTTCCCTTCATCTTCTGTCATAATTGTAAATTTTCTGAGACTTCCCTAGAAGCTGAGCAGATGCCAGCATCATGCTTCCTGTACAGCCTGCAGAACCATGAGCCAATTAAACTTCTTTTGTTCATAAATTACCCAGTCTCAGGAAATTTCTTTATAGCAGTAAGAGAACAGACTAATAAAGGCCTGCACCACCATCTAGCTTATTTCTGTTGTCTAAATTGAGTTAAATATCTAAAGATACCACTCTAATCAAGAGGTAACAGCCTATATATGCTCAAATGTCTACCTAATTTGATTATTTGCACTAATGCAATGAATTTACTATAAATTTTTAGAATTTAGAATTTATAGAACGCTTTCACTCTCAGCTTTAATGCCAACCTCCCCTGTCGGAGTCCACGCCTACGAACTCACGTCTACGGCAGTCCATCAGCGTGGACTCAGGCACCTTAAATCGGAGTGAGCCTCCTGCACCAGGAAGTCTTCCACCCACTTTCAATAACTCTCTCGCTCCAAATCCTTCCACACCAATCATGTCGATAACAGTCAAGTTATTCCTGGAGTGAAAGGAGATGCAAATAAAAACACATTACCATGGCGTTACAAGGGGCAAAGCACTTGAAGTTAAATATTCCAAGTTAGCAAGAACATTTTTAAACTTTTTTGAAGGTTTAAAAAAAGAAAATTTATTTAAATAGTGTGGCATCTTCTTCCATCTCACAGAATAAGGCTGCAGCCACAGGCAAGGGAAGCCACCACTGCCAAGTACCTGAGTGAGCTGACTGCAGCAAGATTGCACAAACAATGATGACCTCCTTCTAAACACAGTCCACATACGTAGCCCCATATATTTTTCTAAAAACTAGGAACCAGAGTAGTGATCAGACATTCAAGAGAAAAAAAAGCTGAGGAAATAAAGTGGGGGACACAGACAAACACGAATACATTTAGACAAAATAATGAAACGTATTTACAAAGTCAATTAAGGTGTTTTTATAGTAACTGTAAGAAATTCTGCCCTAGGGATGATTCTAGAAATAGAATTCTATTGTTTCTTTTGAAGTGAAGATTTAAAATTTCACCCCATAAATCATACGTATCTAGTCAGGTTTTTATTGGTCAAATAGTAATTCAGACTAGCATGTGTCTTTTCATTAACTGAAGTTCCAGGGCAAAAAGGTGGAAATAATTTTTATTTTTTAAAATTTTTATTTATTTACTTATGAGACAGGTTCTTGCTCTACCACCCAGGCTGGAGTGAAGCAGCATGATTATGGCTCACTGCAGCCTCATCCTCCCAGGCTCATGCAATTCTAACTCAGCCTTCCAAGTAGCTGGGACCACAGGCAAGCATCACTATGCCCATTTAATACTTTGTATTTTTGTAGAGGTGAGGTTTCACCACATTGCCCAGGCTGATCTCAAATTCCTGGGCTCAAATGATCTGCCTGCCTCAGCCTCCCAAAGTGCTAGGATTATAGGCATAAGCCACTATACCTGGCCTGGAAATGATTTTTAAATGATGCAAGTTGGAGTGAAGGCCACTCCTCAGAATGTAAATATTATAGAAGAGAATTCATTTTACTTTTGTAATTATATAGTATACATTAAAATATCTTTACTTCTTTAAAGGATTAAAAAGCTTTTATTAACCATTAAAAAAAAACCTTTAAGTGATGGGGCGTTATTTACAGAACAGAAACTATCAAAAGTAAATTAACTTCTATGAAAAATTTAGACTTTCAAGTCTGAGATAGTTCAACCTGGATGAAATAAAGTTTGTCTAGGACCTCAGTTCTTCAATGAAGAGTCGGTTTAAATGAAACACTAATTCAAAAAAAAGAGAATTTAAAAACAAAACAAAAAAAATGAATGAAGAAACAGAAAAAAAGAAACTCTTACAGGGCATTAAGTAACTTTAGTTAAAATGCTTAACAAATAAACTCAAGAACTTTAACATATCTTTTTCTTAGTATCATTCATTTGCACAAGAACAAACTTACATATTAAAGAAAATCCTGAATAATAAATTTTTTGCCAGATGATCTGATACTATGAGTTTTTTAAAAAAAATAACTCAAATGTGGCCAGGCACAGTGGCTCACGCCTGTAATCCCAGCACTTCGGGAGGCCGAAGTAGACAGATCATGAGGTCAAGAGATTGAGACCAACCTGGCCAACATGGTGAAACCCCATCTCTACTAAAAATACAAAAATTAGCTAGGCTACTCAGGAGGCTGAGGCAGGAGAATTGCTTGAACCCAGGAGGTGGAGGTTACAGTAAGCCAAGATCACGCCACTGCACTCCAGTCTGGGTGACAGAGTGAGACTCCGTCTCAAAAAAAAAAAAAAAAAAAAACTCAGATGTCATTTATTAAAAATTAAACTTGTGTTAAACTTCTCACTAATGCAGAGCCTCAGCATACATCTGTATTTACTGTAAATTTTTTAAAGACTCTCAAGACTACCTAAAGATGAAAACAATTTAAAAATAAAACACATTTAACATGCTTAAATCAGTTAGCAGTAACTCATTTCAAAGGAAGAAAAGGAATAAAAAGAGCCAATAGGCTCAACGAAACACCTTTTCTGTTGTACATTTGACTACTGAGAATTCCAACAGCAAAAAGAGATGAAAGTGATATGTTTGTTCAAATACTAAAGACTGAAAATATCTACTGCAGTGCTTCAGTGATCTTTCTATGCTATGGACAGAGGAGTAGATCTATGTGTGAGAGTGTGTTCTGCCTTTTGAGACAGCACTGAATGAGGTGCTGTGTGGAAAGCACTACCCCTCCTGGAGATATGGGCGCACACTCCCTACTGGAGAAGAGAGGAGACTAGGGCCCTGGGGGTTACATGTCAAGCCTCCAGTGACCTCTTTCTCAGCTCCCACTTCTTCCTACCCTGCAACACAGCCTTAATCCTGAAGGTCTGATTGAGAAGCAAATGTCAACTATCAGCCAAAGAGATTTACACAGATGAGTCAGCAAGAAAGAAACATTCTACAACAGGAACACACCTACCGGATTAGTATGAGTGAGGTAACTTTTCCATAGTCAGTGGGTGTGAAAACTACGCCAACCCTTTTCATTTCCAAAGGCTGCAAATGTAAGTGAAGGATGCCAAACCTGGATTCATCGGAATGCATACCCTGCAAATTAATAACAAATTCCATGAAACAATGTCATACTCCTAGAAAGCAGGCTTCCATGGTCAGTAAGTGCACCTAGAGTTTAAACATGATTGCTTTTCTTTTAATGTCCAGATTTGACCATACTGATCAACATGTTTGAACTTGCTGATCCTGAGAGTTCAATCCAATAAACAGTTTCTGAGCCATAACTAAGAAATATAGGCAGAGGCTACAGGACAACCTGACAAAGATGCTGGAAGGGGATTTGCTTCCTGGTTTGGATGGAAGTTGGGGCTAGAAATTTTCTACACGAAGATGCTTTGAATGTAAAACATCAGTCAGAAAACAGACCCCACAGGCTCTGCTTGAATGCTAAAGCAATCTGACAAGACCACCTACCCACCACTGGACAACCCAAAGATCTCTTCGTATAAATTCTTTATATTGAATTTAAGTTTATATAGAAATCATCTTTTTTCTATTTCGTCTCTCCAGTCAGAAGAAACATTTTTATTCATTCACATCTTCCTATTTTCTCCAAGATGCCTTTTTTTCTGCATAAAACTTGTGCTCTAAATTTAATATCCAAGATTTCTTTTTATCTTTGTGATAAGTGGATTTTCCCCTTTCCACTTTTTCTAGCTTGATCTCACTAAATACAATGCATAATTTCTTAGAGCTCTTATATAATCTGAAGAACATTATTTTTCTTTCCTATGTTTTTAGTTTTTATCTTTCAATTATTGCTAGTGTTATCCATGCCATCTGAAAAAAAGAAATAGTAATAGTATTTGATTATTTGACTCATTTTCATTAGAATTATGAACTTCATGAAGGAAGAAACCCTGTTTTATACAAATAATATGAATGCTGAATTTAAAAGCTGCTGGCTTTTGGTGTTAAACTTATAGTAAAAACAGCACCGCTATTAAATGGTTCTCATATGCCAGCCACTGAAATTTTTAGGGTATATAAAAAATTCCAATGCTCTTAACCAAAGAAACTATGTTATATCTAAAAGCAAATCAACAAAATCAAAATGCAAGAAGCCTTTCTTTACATGATGAAGAATTCTAATAATAATTTTGAGTTAAATTTTAATTCAGTGTTTTCAAGGCACTAATATTAACTATTCTTTTCATCAATGTAATAAATTAAGAATAATAATAATTTCCCTTATCCCAAAATGGATACTATTTCTTGGGGAAAATAATCAGTTGTAGATAAAAGCTTTTTCCAAATGAGTTGCATCATTTGTTCACATCTAAATATAATATTTAGATTTAAAATAAAGGGACATTATTTTTAGAATTTCAAGCTATACATATTTCAATACCAGTGAGGCAATATATCATTTAGTATTTTGGACTAATTATTTTAAATAGCCTTGAAGATCTCCTGGTGGAGAAAATGAGAGGGAGAGAAACCGGCAGGCTCACTAACAAGAATAAGACCACAGCTGGGTGCAAGGCTTCACCCCCTACTGCTGCCTCCCGCTTAAGAAAAGAGAATCTGCTGGTAATGGGTTATCTGGGTCTTCCTCCTTCTGTTACTGAAATTAATCTAGAGCCAACAGTATATTTTTGGAAGGACAAAGATAAAGAAAACACCCAAGGTGCTTAAATATGTGTGCGTAGTAAAAATAGAGTTATCTGCATATGTGAGTTTATAAGTGTATATGTGTATTTTTTGTCAACAGATGCTCCACTTTTGAACTGATCTCAAACACAGAATACCTGTAAGGCCAACACTCAGCTATGCACAAATAGCCACTGAATGACTGAGTGGAAACTGAGAAGTAAGGCTGCCAAGTCCCCAGGCAAACAGCATCCTCACCACATGACATGTTTACTCCTATTCCTAAGTATTTGGGCAAGACCTCATGATTGCCCACAGGCTTAAGAATTTTAGAGTCATCCTTTTTTATAGATAAGGTAAACATCACAGTGACTTGCTAAAAACAGGAACACAGTTTAGTAAGAGAAGACTTTTTGTTAATGTATTTGTTTTTACCTTATCTTGCCCTAAAAAAGAATTTGAGGGCCAAGGAATCTTAAGAGAATTATAAATTCTGGGGTCTCAAGTTTCACAGTTTTCTACAAAGCTCTGTTCAACTGTTAATTCTTTACTCACATGATTCTAAATCATCAAATTAAAATGATTTACAGGCTAACATAAACCCAACTCCTACGGCATTCGTTAACTGGAAAAATCTGCTATGTGTTGTTAATGCCTCGAGAATCAAAATAAAAGAGCTATATACAGTACATAAAAGACATTTTAAACATAAATCAGTGAGGCCTGTATGTTCACGTATCTCGTTTGTCGGCATTCTTTTTTCTGTTTTAGGATAACATCCTACCGGGTAAAGGCAAGCTTTGGTGAGCTGGAATTCACCAGTTGTGAAATTAATCATCTGCATATCAGTGCCAAACCTATAATGAAAAAAGCAAATGATTAAAATGCACTCACATCTGCCAATAAAGGTTTAATACGTGTGTGCACGTATATACATTTATACAAAGGTGACTATGCATTTGTGCACACACATACACACAAAATTCATCCCATCCTGTCACCACTGTGTCCCAGCTCCATCCCACATTCCACCCCCATATCTGCCATATTGTCAGTGATCAATAAGTATTGATAAATGAATGACTTTGGCATCACAGGATATAAGGAAGCATATAGTGACAGAAGCTCTAAATAATATGAAGCAATTTTTTTCCAAATGGCTCATAGCTATGGAAGCTGAAAAAAAGTGGCCCTCAACCAAAGGCAATTTTGTCTCACAGGAAACACTGGGCAACATCTGGAGACATGTTTGGTTGTCATAGCTGGGAAGGTCCTACTGGCGTCTAGTGGGTAGAAGCCAGGAATGCTGTTAAACATCCTTCCACACACAAGATGGCCCCTCCCACCCCACCAAACAGAACAGTAGAATCATCTGGTCCAAAATGTCAATACTGCAAACACTGAGAAACCCTGGGATAAGGGTAGATCTTATAAACAAGAAGTCAGAAACATTCTAAGTAAAACTGTGATTGTGTGAAAATATGATATAACAGACGTGAACTAATTATCACCTTCACCTGTTTAATGCTGGACAAGAATATACATTCATCCCTCTGCATCTGCAGGTTCCACACCTGCAGGTTCAGCCAACCACAGGTATAGAACCCTGAAATTAGGAGGGCCAATTTTTCCACCAATGGTTTTAAAGGACTTGAACATTCTTCAGATTTTAGTATCCAAGGGGGTTCTGGATGGCCCTCCATACTAATATTTTTTAAAGATGGTGGCGTATACCCATAAAATATTTCTTGTTTTCATTCTAAATGGGAAGTGATAAATGTCACCTTTAGCAGATATGGAGGGCCAACTGGACTAAAACACTAAACTTATTTCTTATGCTGCCCAGAAATCATGATGATTGAGAGTCGAAATTTTAGGAGTATATGTGAAAAAACATGATAAAGATTCCCTAACTAATGAAAAAAATGTTCTGTTGGTTAGTAGACTACAGGATAACACTGGAGATGCCACATAACACAGAGAGCCAGGCAGTTCCCTCAGATCACATGCACCAAGGGGCAGGGTGCCCAAGGTCCATGAGCTAATTGGTTCATACTGTGTCCACATCCACACACAGGTCCTGATTGATAAAGTGTAGGACATTACGTAGTTCTGAGTTTTCCCAGTACTTCCTAAACTGCCCCTTGGAAAAAAGTCTTCATACCATCTGTGGAGCAGGTGCACTATGGCTTCGGGTTGAGGGTACAAGGAGAGGGGCAGGAGCTGCAAGGAGACCGGCCGAGAAGACGGGTTCTGCAACACGAAGTACTTGACCTAGGTGTGAGGAAAGAGAAGTTAAAACCCCGAGAAGGACACACCATCCCTCCTGAGACATCCTGGCCAAAAGGGCATAACCTAATCATGAGGAAACATCACGTGATGCCAATCAAGAAAGATCACAGGAAATAAATGGCCAGCATGCTTCAAAAACGTCTATGTCATAAAAGGCAAAGAACAGGTGGGGAAGACTAAAGGCGACTACAAAAATCTGCCGAAGCAATGAGAAATACTGGACTGGATTCTGAACCAGAAAAAAAAAAATGCTAGAAAGTATGATAGTGGAATCTCTGAAAACACTTTATCTACATATACTGGATATATGTAGTATATACAGTGTGTATATAAAATATATACATATATACACACACTTCACATATATACTACATATATGTACTACATATATATACATAGTACATACATACTGTAGATTAAATAACAGCATCATGATTAATAGTACATTTTCTGATTTCAATCACTATATTCTGGTTCAGAAAAAAGCCCTTGTTCTTAATTAATTCATACTGAAAATTAAAGAGGGTATAATGTGTCTGACACTCAGAGGGCTGAGAAAGATACATGTATGCAGAAAGAGAAAAAATGTTAAAGCAAGTGTGGCAAACATTAAAAATGGATGAATCTTTGCAAAAAGTAATTGGGAGCTCCTGGTATACTACTTTTGAAGCTTTTCTCTAAGTTGAAATCATTTCAAAATAAAAAATTAAACAAACAAAAGACAGCCTGGGCCGGGTGCAGTGGCTCAAGCCCGTAATCCCAGCACTTTGGGAGGCCGAGGCAGGTGAATCACGAGGTCAAGAGATCGAGACCATCCTGGTCAACATGGTGAAACCCCATCTCTACTAAAAAAAATACAAAAAATTAGCTGGACATGATGGCGCACACCTGTAATCCCAGCTACTTGGGAGGCTGAGGCAGGAGAATTGCCTGAACCCAGGAGGTGGAGGTTGCAGTAAGCCGAGATTACACCATTGCACTCCAGCCAGAGTAACAGGAGCAAAACTCCGTCTCAAAAAAAAAGAAAAAAAAAAAGCCTGAGGATGTCATCCCTTAGAAAACCCATGAGCACCTGATAAGGCATAATTCATATCCCATGTGGTGCAGAGTTCTTAGCCATGAGACTTATGAGACATAAATGAAAGTCTGATGGAGGCACCTCCTTCCCTTTGCCCAGTCTTCCTGCTACCAGAGCTGGACGAGAGAGGCACAGACAAGCATGAAAGCCAACACGCTAGGATGGACAGCAGACAGGGAGAGGAGCCTCAGTCCCTGATGGCATCACAGAGAATGCAACCTGACTCATTCTGGACTTCTCCCCTTTGGGCTTCTTGTTATAAAACGATTCCTAATTAAGCCAGTCAAGCTTTTCTCTGCTGTTTGCAGTTGAGTACTTCCTTAACTGACATTTATGGAGTGTACATTCAATTCAAAATCTATTTGTTTCATGCATTTTCAGTCTGCTTAGAATTTTACTGCTCATCTAGTTCTTTTGACATCTCCTTAATTTTGGCTCTGAAACAGTAGCTCAAGATGGAAATTAGCTGGTACTTTGAAGACTCGAGCACTGGGCAGTCACTGACAAAGAGATGAAAAGACACACTGTCCTCACCACGCTGCTCCTCAGGGCAGTTGCGCTGAAGTTTAATACGAGGCCAGGCTCTGCGACCAAACGAGGCAAAAAGAAAACAAGGGACTCTGACTCCTTGGATTTCTTCAAGTGAGCAAATCGAGTTGTTCCCAAAACATTCTTCCTGTTTAATTGATAAAGAAACTATTATGAAAAATAGTTTTCATATCTAAAAATGTAATATTGAATAATTTTGATATTTAGGGAAATCACTAGATACTATTCCCACTTAAAGGAAAAAGACTCTTGAGGAAATGGTTTATTCTAGGTCTGGAGATGAGAAAGAACAAGACTGACCCTAGAATGCTCTGTTTTACTAGAAAGCAAGGAAGCACTCAAAGAACAACAGGAACACGTCAAAGGGTTCCCACAAGCCAAATCTGAACCATTTATCATAAAAAATAATAGTGATGGTAAGAGAGTACAACACTGCAACTAAAGAATCACAGTGATGCTTAAAAACAAGACAAACACTCTTAAAATTATATATATATATATATTTGAACAAAATAATCAGAAACATCATTTTGCAGCCATCAGTCTAACAAGTAATTTCGGCAATGATTATCAATAAATACTAAAACCATGGGGTGAAACATCCTTAGGGAACAGGTCATTTATATGCTATCAAATTATCACAGCACAGATTTGTTAATTACACCAGGACAAAGGTATGTACAATGGAGAGTTTTGTCACTCATCACCTAAACCAAGCGACTCAACTTAGCAAGGCCAGTAATGGAAGTGACATTTATGTACCTCCTGATGAGATGAAATAATACAGACACAGGACCAACCAGGTAACTCATATTCTTGCCAAAAACATTTAACTAGAATATGAACTTGAGGAAGCAATCAGAAAAATCCAGAGGGTGGAATGTTTTATAAAACAACTGCCCTGAACTTTTAAAAAGTATCAACATGGGCCGGGCACGGTGGCTCAAGCCTGTAATCCCAGTACTCTGGGAGGCCGAGGCGGGTGGATCACGAGGTCAAGAGATCGAGACCATCCTGGTCAACATGGTGAAACCCCGTCTCTACTAAAAATACAAAAAATTAGCTGGGAATGGTGGTGCATGCCTGTAATCCCAGCTACTCAGGAGGCTGAGGCAGGATAATTGGCTGAACCCAGGAGGCGGAGGTTGCAGTGAGCCGAGATCACGCCATTGCACTCCAGCCTGGGTAACAAGAGCGAAACTCCGTCTCAAAAAAAAAAAAAGTATCAACATGAAGAAAGCTGATGAGAGGGAGGAACACCAGTCTAAGAAAACATGACAACCAAATGCAATGCTTGGCCCTTCAATAGATTCTGGATTAAAAGAAAGGGAAAAGAAAAAAGCAGCTATAATGAACACTACCAGACCAACTAGGGAAAATTTTAACACAGGCTGTATATTAAACAATATAATTAAATGAATACCAAGTTTGTTAGATATGCAATGGTAGTACAGTTATATATAAGAAAATATTCTCCTTAGGAAATTAAGAATTTCCTAATAAAGTATTAAGAATTGACGTATGACATCTACAGCTCATGGACATCTACATCCATGACTTGGCAAAAAGTCTGTGTGTGTTTCTGTGTTTCTCATATTCCCTATATATCAGTGTACACACACAGACGAAATGATAAAATATGAACACCTGGTGAACAAAATCTAGATGAGGAATATTTGAGTACTCACTGCACTATCCTCAACTTCTGAGGTTTGAAATTTGTCAAAATTAAAAGCTGGAGAGAAATATCAATCACCAGAAATTAAGGACTATAATGTCAAAAAATAGTGTGTACAGTGGTCCCCTATCCACGGTCTTGCTTTCCGAAGCTTCAGTTACCTGTGGTCAACTGGGGTCTGAAAATATTAAATGAAAAATTCCAGAAATAATTCACAACCTTTCTATTACACACCGTGCTGAGGAGCAAGATGAAAGTTCAAATCATCCCACTCCATCTTGTCTGGGCCATGTGAATCAGCCCTCTGCCCAGCACATCCACACAGTATTCACTACCTGCCTGCTAGTCACTTAGCAGCCATCTCAGCCATCAGGTCGACTATCCTGCCATCACATGCTTTTGTTCAAGGACCCCTTATTTGACTTAATAATGGCTATAAAGTGCAAGAACAGTAATGCTGACAATTCAGATATGCCAAGGAGAAGCCATAAAATGCTTCCTTTTACCCAAAAAGGTGAAAGTTGTTGAGTTAATAAAAAGAAAGAAAAGTATGCTGAGACTGCTAAGATTTACAGTAAAAATGAATCTTCTATTCGTGAAATTATGATGAAGGAAAAAGAAATTCATGCATAGTATATAGGGCTTTCTACTATCTGCAGTTTCAGGCGTCCGTGGGGGTCGGGGGGAGGGTCTTAGAATGTATCCCTGCAGGTAAGGAGGTACTACCATAACAGTGTCTCCCCACACCGAACAAAAAAGACGACAAGTGCTGACGTACTTGCAGACGTCACCGTTTTTATATTTCTTCCATCTTTCATACAATTTATTTGCAAGTTCAGAATCCACATCCCACATAGATGGATCCAGAGAAAGGCTCCCATTCCAGTTAGGATTTCCTAAAAGGTAGATCAGATTCCATATTTAGATTTACAGAAAATATAATTCAATTAGTAAATAATGCCAAGGGCTGAATATTAAACTTCTTAAACTGAGAGGACTGAAGAGTGAATAAATGCCACCTCTGTCCTCTGCTGCTTATTTACTAAAAGTCCCTCTAACTCAATGGCAAATGATACATCAAATTAAACAAACATATCATAAAACAAAACTAAATCGAATTATGTGAAGGCAAAAACGTAAAAGACACATGGCTCATGAATACAGCCTGAAACAAAACTATACTTGGAACATTTTTAACAGCTTTAAATCTAACGCGCGAAACTCCTTCCACACAAATGCTAATCATCATCAAGTCTTCCAGGTCGCTATCTAAAGTGCTGAGGGAAAACAGTAGTTCTTGAAAAGGGGGCAAAGACCAAGAGTCGATCCTAGAGAAGGTGCATGTTTATAACTGGTCTATCTTTCACCTCATCCTACCAAGATTTGTTCTGTCTTGCTAAGGAGGGGATCGGGAAGGAGAGGTGGGAATCTTAAAAAAAAAAAAAAACACTGTACTTTAAAAGTCTCCTTAAATATCTTTATAAATCAAAAGACAAAAAAAAAAAAAAAACAAGAAACAACTTTTACATCAACACCAAAGCCCTTCAGTCCTCAAACCACAACCAGTACCCTCTGTAAGATGTAAGATGTTTACGCTCCCATAACTTAAGTCCTCAAATACAATTCCAAGTTATTTTGACTAACTTCTAGTCAGTTCTTTTATAAAAGAATCAGAATCTTCCTATTTTTCCTATGGGTGTTATGATGATCAAACAATTATTTGAAAAAAAAAAGAAATCCCTTGCAGAGGTATAAGCTACTACATAATAAGAGGGCATTATTTACACAAGTACCCCAGATGTTTCTGGGGGGTTCTTAACAATTTTAAGTCATTCTGTGAATGATTATCCTCTCTAAGAATAGAATATGATGCAATTATCTTATAGAACTAATTATTCCATTGACAAATGTTCATTTTCTTCACTGCTTCCCACTCCCCCAAACTAGAGTTCTACAGAAAGCCTCAGGGCAAAATACTTACCTGCTTTTGATTTTCCCATGAAATAATGCATGCCACAATGTGCTATCACTTCAAAACCCAGACTCCCTTCCTAGATTGAAAAGTAATATATGAATAACTTAAAACACAGCACTAAACATAAAAATCCTAATGCACTAAAACTCAAAGCAGACATTGGCCTGCACCTGAGTGAACTTCCCTTTAACCATGAGCCAATAAATTACTTTCTAAGTTTTAAGAAATTTTCAGACAAATCTGAATTGTCTCTCCCCAGGAGGGTCACTGAGTAGATTCTGAACACACAATAATCAATGACAATAATGACCCTTGGGCCCACAAGACACCAAACTGCCATCAGAATTAAAGATTATGATCACGCAGCTGCACTGAAGCCTGGGCAACAGAGTGAGACCCTACTGTAAAAAAGAAATCTTAAATTAAAAAAAAAAAAAGATTAAATTAGTCTCAGGACATTCTCAGTGGCAAGAGGTTTTGTTTTTTTTTTAACTGAACTCTAATCCTCTGGGAAACAGTACGCTGATCTAGTCCTAGCTATTCAGGACATTAAATTTCCCATTTCCTGCAGGTATGAAGAGCACAGACATGTGACTTCCACATACACCTGAAACCTGCCTGCTCCTCCCACAGTCACTCTGCTTTCCTTATGCATCTCTTGGATGGTAAAACAAATTTCTAAGAAACTAGCCCTGCTGAAAATATGGATATATGGAATTAACCTTATATTCAGTTTAGTTTTAGAAGTCCTATCTGCACGCTTACAGCTAGTTAAGCATGAGGCATTTCTAACTATGAAAAATCAACACTGTAAGTGAGAAAAATAAAGATGGTTGCATGAATGTTTCATAGAAAAACCAGAACCCAGAGTTATACAAAATAGCTTGAAGCAAAAAGAAGCAATAACAATAACCAAATGAAAAGAAATAAATATTAAGGAAAAAAAGAAACATATTTAAGACGACCTAAATTAATTTACCCAGATTTTAAAAAGCATTTTCTTAATGGTGAATCTTTGCAGGCTTTAAACTTGGCCTACTAAGGAAACTCAAGGATCATAAACTACTAAGAGTCACATAGAAGAGACCTAAATAAAGCATTTAACAATCTAGTTTATTAAGTCACTGCAAGTACGTGCTAAAAGCCAAACTGTTTTCTATAGCAAGCATGTATTTGTTGCTCTACAAATTTTGGAAAGAAATGAAAATGACATCTATTAATCTATTGGTCATGCCTTATTTCACTCAAGAGCTTCAAATTACTTTATAAAAAAGAGATCCTCTTTCCAAATAAAGATTTCCATGTCTGAACAATTTATCATCCAAGATTGGCCTGGTAATATACTTCAGTTTCTTAGCCTTAAAGAACATAAGCTTAACCCAATTAATAAAACCCAAGCACTAAAGATTAATTAAAAGCAACAGTAATTACTTAAAAAATTATAACACACATATAGTATTATAGAAAATACCTTGCTTGGTGCTGAATAAATCTGTAGAGGTATTGCAAAAATGGCACCTGTGTTTGTAGTCAAAAATATATTGGTGAATAGATTTATGGCAATGTCTTTAACAGCAAGTTTCAAAGAAAATATATTCCAACAGCCTGGAGGTAGAAATAAAGGGCCAGTGAAATTCAGAATCTAAAAAGAAAAGAAGCAAGAGAAATTACTTTTCCTAACACTAATTATGATTAAAATCATTACAAAGTATGATGCTAACGTTCTTCTATACTTCAGAAAGTAGAATTTTACTGTTATTTCCAGATCAAAAGTTGATATATTTTTATAGAAATGATAGGTTACAAATAATGCTTAAGGTGACACTGTTTTGGCCACACACGGTGGCTCATGCCTGTAATCTCAGCACTTTGGGAGGCCAAGGCGGGCAGATCATGAGGTCAGGAGACCATCCTGGCTAACATGGTGAAACCCCATCTCTACTAAAAATACAAAAAATTAGCTGGGCGTGGGTGAAATCCCGTCTCTACTAAAAATACAAAAAAGTTAGCTGGATGTGGTGGCATGTGCCTATAATCCCAGCTACTCAGTAGGCTGAGGCAGTAAAATTGCTTGAACCTGGGAGGCAGAAGCTGCAGTGAGCCGAGATCGCGCCACTGCATTCCAGCCTGGTTGACAGAGTGAGACTTCATCTCAAAAAAAAAAAAAAAAAAAAGGATGACACTGTTTTAAATTTCACAAAAGTAATCTTGAAATTCCAGTAAGTGGTATTTTGCAAAAAACTATTTTATCATGAACCAGGCTCATTTTTACTAAATATAATCTTTTTGGTACAAACCATATATATAATATTTTTCAATAATGGTAAGAGCGATATTTTGAAATGCTATATCCTGGTCCCTTTGAACTCCTTTAAAAATAATTTTTACAAAGAGAGAAAGAAAAGTCTCCTAAAAGTAAGTCTGAAAATGTTAAAAAAAATACATGTTTTAAAAATCATAAGTTAAAATGAAATTTTATATAAATAATAATTTCATAGCATTTGGAATAAAATAATAATTTTTATTATTTTATAGAAATAATTTCACAGCATTTGACCTTAAAGCTTAAAATAAGCTAAAACTTGGGGGAAAAATACTGTAAGTACCTTTAAAATGTGCTTGGTCTCCTTGGAAACAAACACATCATTTAATACAACACTACGGTCAAAATGGTTGCGGTACCATATTGACCAAAGTCCTGATGTGTTTTCATGAGTCTCTATGTGAAACTGGGTTGCAGAAGAGTCCATTCTAAAATACCTGTGAACAGAGGACATGCATGCTATCAGCCCTGAGTGTGGGACAACAGTTAGCCTTCTTATGAGCCTCTAACTGCAAAAACAGGAGCATCATAAAACATTACTGAATGAAAGCTAGCGCCAGAGACAACCTCAGAAATCACCTCCTTCAACCTTCTGGCTCACATGGGGAGCTACTGGAGCCAGAGGGGAGGCAACCAGGCTGCAGTCAGCACAGCTCACAGAGGCCGCCAGGGCCAAACCAGGACCTGAAGTCAACTCAGAAACAACATGTGAAAATGTGCTCTTTTCACATGCCTGGCTGCCTGATGCTGAACCTATTTCATAAACTGAATTCCTTCACTCCTTTTCCCCATTCTGCTAATAGTCCTTTCACTGCCTGGTAGCAGTGCTAAGGCAGGGGGAGGCAAGGCCAGAGAGAGAGAATCATACAAGTCATATCAGTATATTTTTTTAAAGCATTTCTAGAGGGGAAAACAACAACAACATAGGATTTCAGGTGAAGTGGCAGTAACCTACCCTTGAGCCACAGAAGAGAAGAGGCATGCTTTTAGTGTTGGAGTATGTGTTGTTTTCTTCACATCTTCTATAATTCCACTGTCACATGATGTAGCTGCTTTGTGGTATAAAGAAATAAATGTGAAGCTTAAGTACCTTTCCTTTCACTAAGCCCAAACAAAAGTACGATATATGTCTTATTCTTCATAATTTTTAATTCACTTTTCTGTTTCCATTAAATTAGTGCATCAGACATAAAGGGAACTACTCTCTCAAATGCTCCTGTCATCATCTTTGTTGCCAATTATCCAGAAGCCCACACTTTTTTAAACTAACTTCTCTACCAGAGATGACAAAAGTGAAACATGAAGCTCACCTGGCAGAGTAAGGGGAGGGTGTGGAGGCATGAGCAAGGAAGGAATAAAACCTCAAGAGCCAAAGGGAATTGACTGGCACAAAGTGGGCTGCATTTGAAAGCACTGCCGATCGATCAAAATAATACTTTTAAGCTCTCCCTGACTTAGGTCATCACATTAAGTCACTCGTGCTCAATTCTTTTTTTTGAGATGGAGTCTTGCTCTGTCACCCTGGCTGAAGTGTAGTGGTGTGATCTCGGGTCACTGTCACCTCCACCTCCCTGGTTCAATCAGTTCCCCTGCCTCAGCCTCCCGAGTAGCTGGGACTACAGGCACGCACCAGCATGCCCAGCTAGGTTTTTTGTATACTTGGTAGATACGGAGTTTCACTGTGTTGGCCAAACTGGTCTCAAACTTCTGACCTCAGGCAATCTGCCCACCTCAGCCTCCCAAAATGCTGTGATTAAAGGCGTGAGCCACCCCGCCCAGCTGACAACTTGTGTTCAATTCTTAACTCTCTGATGCTAATATCCAACTTTTGAGTTTTATATATGTAGTTTTTAAAAATTCAAACACTATCAAAAAATGTGAAAATAGTCTCCCTTTCTTCACCCTGACTTAACAATTATCTTACAGGAGGCAGCTGTTAGCAGTCTCTCCAACATCCTTCCAGGTGTTCTGTGCATATATAAGTACACATATACCCTCTAAAAAAATTCATTGTACACACACTGCCTGCACTGCTGTCCATGCATGCTTCTCAACAACTTCTTAACAGATGTTCCGCGGTTCTGTCCTCACACACATTTCTACAGATACAGTTTTGAATACGTACATATCTGGATGATAAACTCTTAGAACTAGAATTAAGGATCGAAGAGCATATACGTGCATTTAAAATTTTCACAGTTTGCCAATTTTCCCTTGAAAACAGCCTGCATATTTATACTCCTGTCAAAAACATAAAAGTGCTTTCCTTCCTAATTGTCACCAACACAGAATATAAAGCTTTAAATTCAAAATCTGACATATGTGGCAGAATAAAAGTGGCATCAACAATAGTTTCTACATCATACTATCTCAGAATCATTAAGGCTGGGACTTCTTGAAATCAAACTCATTCATTTCATTTTTTTTTTAAACCATGCCTAATCTGTAGCTGTAGAAAGAGTTGCCATCACGACAACTAGATAACAAAAGTCAAATGACAATCTGTTTAAAAATCTGTACCTTTGCAGGTAAAAGAAGCGATTTTTGTAAAGTTTGTTGTAGAAGTAGGTAGTAGTACTGGTTCAAACTGCAGAGACAGAGCATCTCTTTGTGAGAAATGGCGTATATCCTGAAACGAAAGAAAAATCCCACATTACTACTCTTAGCTGGGAGAGCATTCATCCAGTTTGAATCAACTGTTGGAATAAAAAGCACAGACCAGCACACACAGCAACTGCTCAGCATCTGTGCCATAACCGTAGGAGGGGATGCTGACAATCTTCATACAAACAGAGGTTCAAACAAGGGCAAATGGGCTTAAAGCAAAAAAGAACAGAGATGGTGCTTCTGTCTCTGTTCCTGAAAAACCCTCACATTCTACAATTAAATGCACACTTGCAATTTCAAAGTTTACCTTAGGTAAGCATTTACAATTACCTGTATCCATATAAGGCTGTTTCCTGAATGTAATATATACATATTTACTGCTGAATCATCTGTCCAAAAGAATCAGAGTAATGAGATTAAAACGGAGCCATCTCATTCTCACACCTTCATATAGTAATTAAAATATCACATTACACATCTCTAGAAAAAATGCTAACTTGTTTCTCAAAACTGAAATCGAAACTAGGAGCTGTTTTCTATTTTTTTTTAATCACAAGAAAAAATATCCTTAAAAAAATGTCTACCAACTTAAGCCCTCTAAATGATGAGGAACTACCAGGAGCAAAATTCCGAGTTTAAAGTCATATAATGCTCTTCTGGATAAAACCAACCAACTGGACAACTTCAGATCAAGCTATGTTCTCCTGTTGATTAGAAAGCCCCTCGTTCCCTCATTTAGATAAACACATTTGGAAAGAAGAAAACCCTGAGATCTCAGATTGCAGTCTTCCTTTTAGCCTTCACAACAGAAATGGTCCCCATGGGTCAGGGATGTTCCCCACATGGATGTTCATCCAGCTGTTATGAGAATCACCAAGCATTGAGGACAGGAGAGCTGTCCTGCTGATCCAGCACTGCCACAGCCAGCTCTGAGGACTAAAAGGCAAATGCTGGTTGACCAATTAAGACCACCAAGGCAGGGCACGGTGGCTCATGCTTGCAATCCCAGCACTTTGGGAGGCTAAGCAGGGAGGATTGCTTAAGCCCAGGAATTCAAGACCATCCTAAGCAATATAGGGAAACCCTGGTTCTACAAAAAAAAAAAAAATTTTAAACGTTAGCCAGGCATAGGGCCAGGCACGGTGGTTCATGACTGTAATCCCCGTACTTTGGGAGGCCAAGACAGGCTGATCACCTGAGGTCAGGAGTTGGAGACCAGCCTGGCCAATATGGAGAAACCCTGTCTCTACTAAAACTACAAAAATATTAGCCAGGCATGGTAGTGCATACCTGTAATCCCAGCTACTCAGGAGGCAGAGGCAGGATTACTGCTTGAACCTGGGAGGCAGAGGTTGCAGTGAGCCAAGATCGCGCCACTGCACTCCAGCCTGGGCAACAGAGCAAGACTCCATCTCAAAAAAAAAAAAAAATTAGCCAGGCATAGTGGTGTGTGCCTGTGGTCTCAACTACTCAGGAAGCTAAGTGATTCTCAGGGAGAATCACTTGAGCCCAGGAGGTTGAAGTTGCAGTGAACCAAGATCACACCATTGCACTCCCGCCTGGGCTACCAAGCAAGATCCCGTCAAAAAATGAAAAAAAAAAAAAAAAAAAAAAACCCAAAGAATAAAAACTATACTTTCTTTGAATACAAACGCATATATACAGTCACATTTGGAAGAGTCTTTATAACCAAAGGATACTAGTAAATTCTGTTATGAATTTCATGGGTCACATAATGTGTCTCTGAAAAAAGTTCTCAGGAAGTTAAACAGATGGACTTGCTTATTTCTCATAAGTAGGACACACATTTCTGAAGATAAAATTCACAAAACTGAACACTAAAATTCTACCTAACTTGTCAAGCATCCAGGACCAACTACATCCTATTAACTATTTAAAATACAAAACAGTGTGATTTGGTTAACTAAGCTTAGACAAATCATTAAAAGTGGAACAAGAAACCCAAGACTTCGAATACTTTGTGAATATTTATATGAAACTGTCATGCCCATTTAATCTGTTTACTATCTACAAACACCAAGAAAAATTATTCCCAAGGAAACTCAGACTAGTCTGCAGTTGTCACTTAACTTCTCAAAATAATACAGCCTTCTTAGCAGTTGCAGGCTGAGAACCAGTTACTACCTCTATCGCTTAATAATTAAAGCAAAGGCTCTTTGTCTTGATTTGCTATGATACAGTCGATACATAAATGCTATAGAACGATAATGCAGACTGATCAAAATATAATTAAAATGTTTAAACATTTCACCTTACCTGCGGTCTCAGATTTATCTGTAGCAACGTAAACAATAGAGAGATGATCTAACAAATCTTGTGTGTTTTCTTCAAATTCTTTCAAAGAGTTTTCCATTGTTACCATTATGCTCATTTGTAGATGCAAAACATCATCAGATTCCAGATAACAACTCTGAGATTGGAAGGAGGAGGAAAAAAGGAAAAACAGACAAAAAAAACCATCTAAACTTTGTGGTTTCAAACTCTGGAAGAAAAGAAAATCATTTAATGTAATGGCACATGTATGAGAACAGAGTATGCTGCTTTGTGTTTTATTTTTAAGCAGAGGCAGGACAGCAGCCAGAGAGAAAACACTACCTTTATTTTTATTTTACCTTTAATTGCTGACACACTTTATTATGTAAACTGCATTCCAGTTGCACCTGCAAGAGGCTAGTATTAGTGGTTTCTGCCTAAAAGAAGAAAAAAGGGGGAAAAGAAAGAGTAAGCAAAAGGCTCAATCTCGCATTAACAGTAAACAACCTATCATGCATTCAGAAACTATACTTTTTCATTTATTAATAAATACTTGAATATCTGCTAAATGCTGGGCATTATTCTTTTTTGTGGATATACAACAGTAAGCTAAACAGAGAAATCTGTTCTCAGGACTGTCACTGAGCCTATATTCTAATGAAAATCCTAAGTTCTCCCTTGGGCAACATGAAAATTCCTTATTACACCAATAAGCAGGTGAATATGTTCTAAAGATACATAGGAATGAACACTGGAGTTTGGCGTTTCTAATGTTTGTTGAAAATGTTGTTTAAACACAGGAGTCTACTGTTATTTTAAAGTAGGTTTACAAAGTAACAGTTAATTCTAAGCGTGCCTTCCATTAGTACAGTGACCTAGAAACCATGACCCTCAAGTTAGACATGCACACAAAAAAAGAGAGATGTCCAAAACTCAGTTGACTATCATTTTGAACAGGGAAGAACTATGGATGAGAGAGACAAAAGTACACAAAAAGAATTCAGGACTCTGTCAAATTTAAAGATCTTAACAGTCACCTGGGATGATGTCAACATATATAAGAAAAGGAAAATCGAAAATCCAATCAAGAGATACAACCTTGGGTAGGAGGGTGAGGGCTACAGGCATGTGAATACACCGAAAAGTGATTTAGTGCAGTATGTGAACCTGAAAGACACAAGCTATGAGATTTCCTCTTGCATTAAGTTTAATGTCTCTGGCATAGTGATTGCAAAAAGGTACTCAGCCCGGGAGCCACAGTTCGAACATCAAATCTCAGCAAGGTAAGAAGGCATTCTCCGAAGTCTAGCCTGGCTCAATAGTAAGTGAGCATCTATTAAAACACCCAGGAAAGATGCATTACTAAGAAGAATCACTACAATTATGTCTAATTTGTTAGATTTATAAGACTTACCCAAGTACATTATATAAGAATACATTTTAAACTATGTCATTTGTCATTCAGGCAATTAAAATACAGGGGAAAAAAGGAATAGATCAGGCACAGTGGTTCCCGGGGATTTTGGGAGGCCAAGGCCGCTCGATTACTGGAGCCCAGGAGTTGGAGATCAGCCTAGGCAACATGGCAAAACCCCATCTCTACTAAAAAAAAAAAAAATTATCCAGGCATGATGATGTGCACCTGTAGTCCCAGCTACTAGGAAGGCTGAGGTGGGAAGACTGATCGAGCCTAGGAGGTCAAGGCTGTAGTTAGCCATGACTCTTTTATTATCTTTTTAAGAAAAAGAATTTATATATACACATACGTGTGTGTGTGTGTGTGTGTGTGTGTTTGGAGCCAGAGTCTTGCCCTGTCATCAGGCTGGAGTACAATGTCACAATCTCGGCTCACTGCAAACTCCGCCTCCTAGGTTCAACCAATTCCCCTGCCTCAGCCTCCTGAGTAGCTGTGCTTACAGGTGTGTGCCCCCATGCCCAGCTAATGTCTGTAAATTTAGTAGAGATGGAGTTGTACCATGTTGGTTAAGCTAGTTTCGAACTTCTGACCTCAGGTGATCCGCCCACCTCAGCCTCCCAAAGTGCTGGGGTTACAGGTATGAGCCACTGCGTCCGGCCAAAAAAGAATAAAATACGTTTTTAATGCAGTAAAAATATTTAAGGAGTTTAACTAAGTTAGTAAATCAGACCAAATATTAAACACTCTTTTAAAGAAATCATTGTTGATATCCTCTAGTATTTTTAAATGGAATATGATTTGTAAAACAAATATAAAATCTTAAACAACTAGATTCTTTTCTTTTTTTGAGACAGTCTCACTCTGTTGTCCAGGCTGGAGTACAGTACTGTAATTTCAGCTCATGCAACCTCCACCTCCCGGGCTTAAGCCAACCTCCCACCTCAGCCTCCCAAGTAGCTGGGACTAAAGCCATGTACCAACACACATGGCTGATTTGTGTATTTTTTGTAGAGGTGGAGTTTCACCATGTTGCCTAGGCTGGTTTTGAACTCCTGGGCTCAAGCACTCCACCCACCTCAGCCTCCCAAAGTGCTGGGATTACAGGTGTGTGCCAATACACCAGCCTGAAGAACTAGATTTTAAAATTTGTCTTTCTACGAACAAATCCCAACATCAAGACATAAACAGAAAAAGTCCACTTTCTGAAACTGATTTTTTTTTTTTGTAATTTTTAAAACTTATTTTTAGAGACTTGTTAGGCCAGGAGCAGTGGCTCATGCCTATAATCCCAGCACTTTGCAAGGCTGAGATGGGCGGATCGCCTGAGGTTGGAAGATTGAGACTAGCCTAGCCAAAATGGTGAAACCCTGTCTCTACTAAAAATATTTAAAAAGTATTAGCCAGGCATAGTGGCACACACCTGTAGTACTACCCACTTGTGAGGCTGAGGCAGGAGAATCACTTGAACCCAGGAGGCGGAGGTTGCAGTGAGCCAAGATAGTGCCATTGCACTCCAGCCTGGGTGACAAGTGAAACTTCATCTCAAAAACTAAAATAAAAATAAAAATAAACATTTGTTATACTGCCCAGACTGAACAGGCGCAATCACAGTGCAGTGCAGCCTCAAACTCCTGACCTCAAGCGATCCTCCCACCTCAGCCTCCTGAGTAGCTGAGACTACAAGCACGTACCACCATACCCAGCTCTGAAACTGCTTTAACCAAAGTTACAAATGATCCTCACATGGCCAAATCCAACAGAAACTTATCATTTTATTCACCCCTCTCCCTGCTGTCACCAGCCTCCTGTCCTGTTAATAGCCTGAACCGCTTGTCCCTCTTGGTTTTTCTTTCTCTCTGGTTCCTCTGCCGCTGTTCCTCCTCTAACCCTCAGACACTGAGTTATGCTGGATGCTGCCTGTGGCCTCTTCACTCTCTCCCAAGGGGAGCTTGTTGGCATGCTGAACCCTCCCAACTGATTCCTCTAGCTCAGACCTCGTCATACCCATATGTCCAACCAGTGACTGGGCATCCACCTGAATCCTCACATACCCCAAGCTAGCCGCCCTTGCTGTGAGTCTCATCTTAGCACCATTATTCATCAATCTCTCATTATTTATCCAGTTGTTTAAGCCAGAAACCTGAAAACCACTTTCACTTCACCTTCTCACTTACTCTCTTCAAACAAGTCCATAACCAAGTCATACTGATTGTACCTTCTTCATGAGCCCTTAAACCATTCACTTCTCCTCTTTCTCAATATCCCAGATATCAGGGGTTGGCAAACTATGCCCACAGGCTAAATCCAGTTTGCTGCCTGTTTTTGTAAACAAAGTTTTATTGTAACACAGCCATGCCTGTCCCTTCATGGACTGTCTGCTATTGCTTTTGTGCTACAATGGCAGAGTTAAGTATCTGCAACAGAGACTGTATAGCCCATAAAGTCAAAATAAATACTCTAACAACACCAAACTACAGAAAAAAATTATGGTGTAGTAACTTCCTCCTACTCTCCCTGCATCCACCTCTGCCCTTTCCACTCCATTCTCCACACTGCACCAAGAATGAGTTTACCCATATACAAATCTGGTTGGTCATGCCACTATTTGCTTAAAACTCTTCAAAGATTTCTCACCTGGCAAAAGTCCCAAATCCTCTGCTATAGCTATAAAACTCCGGGGCCTGCCTAGTCTCCACCTCCCTGTGCATGCTCTAACCTCACTGGTCTACTTTCTGCTCTGCTTGTCGTACAACCTTTGAATTTTCCATCCCTTCACCTTGCACCCATTCTCCAAACCCAGTCACCTCTCCACCTAGCTAAATCTGATTTATGCTTTATGTCCTGGCTTCAATATCCCCCTCAGACACCACAGCAACTTCTACCTGACTTTTTGTAACACTTCTCACAACAACCTGGTTAAGGTCTATCTTCCCCAGGGGATTCTAAGTGTGGTGTTTTTATCACAATGCCTATCACTTCAACAGCACTCAATGAATAGCTGGTGAATGGATAGAGGTGGGCACACAGCCACAGATGCTGCGAAATTGGCTTGAAAGGGCAAGAGAAGCTTGCAAAGGGTAAGAGACAGAAAATAGTGAATGGTGCCTACAAAATAAAAGAATAAAAACCTGATGCTCAGTGTGTATTTCTGATCTGAAACTTTCAAAAAACATCTAAAGAAAAAGTCATATTAAAACACTTTTAAAGTACACATTTATAACTACATTTTTTTTTTCTTTTTAAGAAATCTACAACAATGTAACTAGCTTAAGGTCTTAACTTGACAAGGTAATTCTTCTACCCTAAAATATTTCTTCAAATGAAGAGATAATGTTAAAAGTTCACAATCATACTAACAGTTTTTGACATAATTAACAACCCTATTTTGCACAGTGATTTGCTGTGGTTTAAAGCCTGATATTTTGTCATTCTTAGTAAATCTCTGGATGGATGTATTATAACTTGCTGTTTTAATTAAGATTCTTCTATTAGTGAGAGGCATTTAAAAATCACTCGTTTCATCTGCTGTAGGACATATTTTAGAATCCCACAAGGGGGAGTTCCAGTACCTCCAAACTGCCCTTCAGAAGTATGCTAAGTTTTCTAAAAGCAAAATTTTCAAATTCAAATCTTTCTCAAATGAACAAAACAATAGCATATTATCCTGAAAAAAAAGAAAGAAAGAAAGAAAAAAGACACTCTAACCAAAATATTAGCCAGGGGGCAACCACGCACTAGGGTTACAAGTCCCGCCCCCGCCGCATTGTCCCTAACTGAGCACACTGTATGACAGCAGGACACACCCTCATCCCTCATCCCTCATCCAGAGTAGGCCTGGGCTGATTAGACTGAAAAACAAACAAAAACCTAATGCTCTAGCTTTGAAACCTCCCATGCTCCTTTAACAAATGAGATCAGACATTTTACAGAAAAACGAAACAGTAACTCTATACACAAATTTTTCCTAAGTAGTCTTCATTGAAAGTATTAATATACTTTGTATATTTCATATTATGTCAG